AGCTGAAAGTTTCCCAGTGACAATATATGACCTTTCCTTGTCTACATCCACAATAGTATTATGTTTCCATTACAAAACAATATAATGAGTACTCTGTGGTGAAAAACGGCTGTCTTTTGCATATCATACCAAAATACATTTTTAACTGTCGCTGTCCTGAATATATTTTTTCCACTTAAATGGACCAACTTTCAGATGTAGCTGCTATAATAATGTGGGATTGCACAAGGGATTGGCAATGACGTCAGTATCAGTCGATGTTGGTCATACCGATATTGGTCTGATAAATACGACTGAGCTAATATTACTAACCAATATTTATTTCCATTTTGGTATTTGCTCCTGGTCATGTGGTATTTTTTCATGTGACTGACAGTGACGCAGTCAGCACAGAATTGTGGGGAGTTTAGCTGAATCAGAAAAGCAGTAGTGAAGTCAGCAATATCGACCACAACAACAACAACATTAATATCAGATATCATTGTTGGCACAAATTTTCATATCTGTGCGTCCCTAATACTGATTTCTCCTTCACCTGATGTATCGGTGATGAGACTGTGACCATTAAAGATGCAGCTTTTCTGCAACCCTGACTTAGTGCAAAAAGCTTCTCAACTCTTAGGTTTGTCCTTTTTTAGTCTTCACTTCAGCCTCTGTCTGTATTCATTGGTTTTGGCCTTATTAGATGTCCTCCTTGTTTCTTCACTAAAATATTTTGTTTCTTTCAACAAGACAGACTAATAAAATTGGTTGAAGTGGCTGTTTCCAGGGTAACCATAACCGCTTTTGAAACTTACCATGTCTGACATTGCATGCCGTCCGTCTCTATGGCAACGATGCCTCCAAAGTCTCTGTAAATATAAGAAGTGGATTGGAAGCAAATAAAAACGACAATGTGACTTTGTTCATTTCTGCTCTCTTGAAGTCTTGTCAGGAACGGGAGCTGCCGAAGTAGCTGCTCCTCGACAGATGAAGACGAATGTTGGAGATGTTTCATTTGAGGGGGCTTGATTGGGCATGTTTTTGTATACCTGCAGCGCATATACATATAGATTCACCTGTTTTAGATTCACAGGAGGTGTGGGGTTAATGGATATGTCCTTTCTCCCAGGTGGGTTTGGTGTTTAATCTGTGTCAAATGTCGCCTTATTCCACACTTGATCACGTTTTCATGATGTTACTGATATCCGACTCGTTGAGACGTCGCTCTTAAAGTACAGATGCTGTTGCTTGTAGCGTATTTTTTTCCCCCCCACTTTCTTTTAAATCATCTGTATGTCAGTGGATAGGTTTTGAAGTATGACAGGATTTTTACCTTACAGGAGGTTGAACACCACATCTTTTCAACAAAGTATATATATTAATTGTAGTTCCAATGCTGGATTCAGTAAATTTCTTGCCAAATCATTACTTTTATCTATGATCTATGTTGTCTTTAAAAAGCTGTCCCTTCCATGTGTGGAGTTACTTTCAAAATATGTTTTTTTTTTTTGTTTTGTTTTTTTGTGCTGTAATTGCTGATTACTGGCAGTTAAAAAAAGCTGTAGATTTTACCCTTCACTAATGTCCTATTTAAGATTTTAAAATTCAGAAGTTATATTAGGGAATTATTGGGGAGGACTTTGTGGTAAGGTAAGGTGAGGTGTATTAATATTTGAAACACTAACTAAAACATGTCTAAATTTAGAAAACCAATGTTTAGCCAACCACTTTTTGTGGGTAACTTCTTCTGCTTTATTGCTTTATTTTGTTTTATCAAGGTTAGTGCCTTGTTCAGCAGGGAACCAATAGTAACTGGCTGAAAAAATATACAGATTTTGTAACTGAAGTTTTCTTTTGCAACAGATACTTCTGAATTTAATGATGGTTTACACAGAACAGAGTTTTGCAAAGTAGTCTGCTGTTTGTTTCTTCACCTTTTAATATGCAATACCATGATGCAAAATTAACCATGGTAAATGGCAGCCGGCTAATTAGAAAAACAAGCGTAAGGTACAGTTCCTACTTTTAACTAGGTGCTGCTTCTAGTAATGTTTAATTGTCACCACTTAATTTCATTGCGTGTGTAAAGACTAACCCCAAAGTGTCCAACTGAAGTTTTTATGTTCATCATTTTTTGGATTATTAGATTTCCCATTTTCGTCATTGTTCAGACTCTTTGGTGGGGAGGAGTGTTTTCCGAGGAACTGTACAAACTGGTGATTCCTGTAATTCCCATGTAAGCAGTGTTGTAGCCACTGAATCTCTTGTGAAACTTGTTCCTAAGAACAGGATCCTGCCATCTTGACTTACAAGTAAATCCTGCTTTTCACATTGAGACAGTCTCGAAGTGGACTGGGCCCTCTCTACCTTTGGTATCTAAACCCAACAGCAAAATCACAAACGCAAAGGCAATCAGGAAAAACACACAGCTTCTGACACAGTCCACCTTATTTCTACAATCCGTTGTGCTTTGTAAATAATTATGTTCATAACTTCTGGACCAACATGTGAACAAATGGTATTTCACAGAGCAAATGCTAATGAAAACATCAGGAAACTAAGCAAAGCTTGGCCTTCATTTCTTAAAAATTGCAAGGGCCACCTGGATAAATTGCCACTGATTATCAATGCTAGCTTAATTAGCTGCTTTGTACGCTATTCCTACTGATGGGATAAGCTTTGAACAACCTAAAAAGTTCTGAATCGTTATGTACTCGGTTATAAAGCTGGTAAAGTTTTGTTGAAGGAAGTCGGGCACAACCTTGTCTGACTCCAGGCTGATATGGAGCTCAGTTAGACTCTGAACAATACAGCTACACTGTCAAAGTAAATAAAAATATAACTTAGTTTCTTAGTTTGATGAAGTGTCTTCTGTTTACCTGTCGTAGTTTTTGTGTTTGCGTTTCTGATTAGATTTAGAGACATGTTTATTTTTATCCTCCTTGTAATCAAGGTAAACTGAATCACGGCGTATTGCAGGAGTAATTCAAACTCACTTTTAATGTACGCTTGTTGAAGCTGCTAAATTTGAGCTTCTGTTGATATTTAAGCGGAGTTTCAGACAGCTGGATAAATGCCAGAACTTTGCAGGAAAATATGTGGGATTATTACAACAGACGAATGAATATACATTTTAGCTAAAACTTTAAAACCATTACTTAAGAAGAAGGCTTTCTACATTATGTTTAGCTATGTTATATGTACTGCAAGCTAGTTATTTAAGTAGTAGTTGCTTTTATAATTGTTGTTGCACTCATCGCTGATCTGCATTGGCCATTTTGCTGATTACGCTTTGATCTTTTTCAGATCAGATTTTCAGATGGTTTTTCGCGAGGAGTTGCCACAACCTCCCACAGTGTTTGGCTTTTCATCTACTGTGGCCTGAGATGATGTTGTAACGCAGACATGTGAGGACTCGGTTAATGATGCTGCCAAACAGATTTGGGATCAGTGGATCAGCAGCTTTTGTTTTTACAAACATAATGTTATGCCATAAATCAGTACAGATGATATCTGTGCTTATATTTTGGCTTTACTCCTGTTAAAAATAAGTTTGAAAAAGTTTGTTTACATCCTCTGACGGAAAATGGAAAGAAAAGTGAATATTTGCTTGCATTTCCGGCCTTTCTACACTTTTAACTGCAAGTAGCCACAGTTTGCCAGGTTATCACATTTAATACCTTTTTATTTAATTTTTTTTTGTCTACACAAATAACTGTGGGTTGTAAATCTTAATGTTTAAAGCCATTTCATCAGAAGTTATGAGGCACTCGTACATCTCAAAATAGGGAGCAATGTCTGGTTTCAGTATCTTGATTTAAAAAAAAATCATGATGCCAAACCACCAAATCAGATGTGGAGGCTGTTTGAGCAAATGCAACCAATAGCTTAGAAATGACACAAAAAATGGCCATTTCTTTTTTTAAACTTAAAACAATGTTTTTGCTGAACTGTGTTGCCCTGCCTGCTTCCCCCTGCTGATGTCCCAGACATTTTTTTCCTCTTAGTTCAATGTCACTTAATTTGTAGAGAGCAGCTGGATTGCCTCTTTCCACTCAGGTTTCTACAGGTCAATGTTCATAGAGATGTTAGGATTATATTTTCAGTTTTTTTTTTTTTTTTACTTCTCTAAACACATTTTGCTGACCAGCTTCACATTTAGGTGTGATTCATTCTCTTCCATATTTAACTGGCTTGGAAAACAGGTTAAGTGTTGCAATACTTTTGTATTCAGTGTGGTTGCATGTTTGCGTTGTGGCTGTACGGTATGCTGCAAGTTTAGATGGTCCACTTAGTAATTAATCTCTGCAGAACTTGATGAACCAGTATTGGGACAGTTCGTTCCTTAGGTGGAGGGTGTTGACGCCTGTCTTTAGCAATCATTAGCAGTCAGCACAGGAAACCTAAATATTCTTTTGCCAGTTTCATCAGAATAAATGTTCAATGTTTTTGAGAAAAATATGTGATATATTTGTGTTGTATCCATTAGAAACCTGTAATGCATCATGGGAAAAAGACAGCATCAGTTTAATAAAATACCAGAAACTTGTAAACCTAGGCCCATCCCTGTGGTACTTAATGTGATTTGTGCCCTAACCAGCTGCAGTGTATTTAAAAAAAAGTCATAACTTTTTAACTTTTCTGTGTTTTGGGAGATCTTTTATGTGATGGATGAACATAGGGTGGAACATAATTGTGAAAGTACAGGAAAAATAAATCAAAATTCAACAGTTTGTCCATGTTTCCTTGTACTGTTTATATATATATATATAATAACCACTCAGTTTTGTAGTTATTTTCCTTTAGTTGTTGAGCAAGAATGTTACTTTCCTTAACCCAAATACCTTCCTCAGTAATTTCCAAGTGTTGTCTTTTGTGCTAATGTTGAAATGGGGGTACATGAAGTTTTGATGTGCTGGAACATAAAACTTCAACTTTTAGCTTTTCTTTTAGTCTATCAGAATTCTGCTTATGCTCTGTTGCTGCTCTTTCTTCATCATCTGCTTTTATTTCACCAGTTGTCCGTTCCTGGCACAGCAGCTGACCCCCATCATTCCAGTCCTAGGAGGAGCTCTGTTTTTGTTTGTACTGGGGACTCTATTGAGAACCAGCTTCAGTGACCCCGGCGTCCTGCCTAGGGCCACCCCTGACGAGGCAGCGGATTTGGAGAGACAAATAGGTAAGAGATTTCATGTCCATCTTATATATATATATATATATATATATATATATATATATATATATATATATATATATATATATATATATATATATATATCTGCATTTTGGGGTTTCTCTCCTTGTGTTTTTTTTTATTGCTTTTGTGCCAGTATATAGTGCCACAAATGTATTGAGGTCCAACATACTTACTCCAAAGTGCTGAAATAAGCTCTCAATGAAAGTTGTGACATTTTGTTCCAAGAGAAGCATCTGCCTACCAAACTCTACTCCAGAGAGTAGAGTTTGAACCAGAGAGCAACACTTTGCTCTCTGTGCAAAGTGTTGCGTGACTGGTCAGAAGTTTGTTGTCGTGTTTTACACCGAAATGTGCTCGGACAGCAATGTTGATATTTCCATTCGACTATTCTGCTTCCACCATCTTGCAGCAGGAGACACTAATTTTTTTTTTTTTTGAGGAACATTCGTCAGACGTGATGAGAAATTATGTACATTTGTATGGTTCCTCACCAACAACCTCCTAGAAAAACAAGACTAGCAAATGGCTAATGACTCTTGGATGGAAACTGTAACATTGTTTTCCACGGAGGAGGCTGTGTGTAGAAAGTGCGATGCTCTCTCTGTGACTGCTACATAAAAACAAAACCAAGGATTGCAGGGAAGCAGGGAGAACCCTGGTGAGTAAGGACATTTACTGAAGCAGGAGGGGTGTCCCCCAGGTGGTCTGTATGAAAGGTGTGTGCGAAAACAAACAGTTTGCAACCGTGTGACTGTGTGTCGACTGTTCGGCATCAGATGAAGGATGTGGGATCCTTTAGTGATTCTCCTTTGTATGTTCTTTTGTGCATGTCCTGTTTACACAGCTCCCATCCGTCTCATCTCCCCTATCTGAGAAAATGTTCCATGCGTAGCTGGATTCAGCTTTTGTGTGGGTGTTTACTGCCTCCCTGACACATTAACAGGAGGAGGTGTCTTTAGTAAATCTGCACAGCCAAAGAAATAGGGGCTTCAATTGACTTTAAAGGTTCTCTTTGTCTTTGCTGGGATGAATTATTGGTACTGCACTGAACTCTGATCTTTTTATTTAAAAAAAAAAGCTTCTCCAAATACCCCTTTCCGATGGATTACTTGGTCATAAATTGTCATTTGATAAATACCTTATCTAATATATGTTGGCACAAGTAAAACTATTGGTGAATTAGGAAGCACTAATGTTGAACTAACTGAATTAACAGAAGTTAAGAGGATTTTCAGAAAAATTCAATACTTAATTTTAGTAAATTTGTTCAGTCTGGAAAACAAATCCCATATTAGGAAACAATTCATAACATGGAATAATCTTCCTTGTGCAATTATTAATCCCTTTAAAATGTGTTCAGCTGTAGGATTGTTCCTGAAGTTGAGCTTAATTTCTAAGAACATCGTTCTGTTCTCTTGTCCTAGAAGGGTGACATGACATGGAGGCCCATCACTTAGTCACAGGAAACTAGATCGGATGAGGGCCCGTATTTACTTTACCACCTTGCACAGTAAGCAGGAAGGGAAAAGGGGTAATAAAAATCTTCATAGCTCATTATGGGAGAACTGAAGCAAAGAACAGCATCTTGGGGGTCACCAAGTGTCCATAACAACCATTAGACAGTGTGTACGTGCCAGTTGTGTGGGAGTGATACAAGGAAAACAAAAATCCTTTTCTGTTCAATCATCACAAATATGAAAATGATGAGTTTGATAAAGATCACTGGGACTTGAGCTGAGACTGCAGATTTTCCACAAACACTCCAGGTGGGTGTGACGGGAAACAAAGAATGAGTAGTTGGAAACTTCTTTGATGGACCGGTTCCTAACTTTGGACTGCATGACATCAGACTATTTGAAATAGCTCAAGGTTTTAAAGAAGAACAAACGCTGCCATTGGGTCGTCACCGGGTCTTACCACAGGTTAATGATCCATAACAAATGACCAAATTTACTCAGAATGGTTAACCAGGCACAAATTCAACCTTTTTCCTTGGCCGTTGAACTAAACCGTGTAAGACAGGATTGGATGATCTAGAGATCAATCTTATGAAATGTTGCAGGAAAAGACAAAGCAGTGACCAGATCAGGAAACAATTTATTTTCCTACTAGTCACACACAATAAAAAATCACAGTGCTAAATGTACTGCTTTATAAATGGACAGAAGCAGATGATAATAATGATGGCTCATCTCAAATGGATGTTGCCTTGGCTTGAGGTGATGTCAGGAAGATTTGAGGGTCAGAAAAAGGACAGTGTGTAAAGCACAAAGGGATGTCATCCTTAGAGGTTAGTCTCTTGGCTGTTAAAGATAGTAAATATCCTTTTAATGATTAGCTGCGGGAAAATTCCTTCACAGTAAGTTAACAAGAGGGTCGGCATTTGTTGTCAGTACAAGCAAGAATCCATCTGCCCGTTGACTTCATTTCTAGGATTTATTGTGGTCTGCTAAAATTCTTTGTAAGACGTTAGTGACTGTCATCGTTGCAAAAACATATATTCAGTATCGGTGACTCCCAGTGCGTTTTTTTTCTCTCCTGTTTTTCCTTTACATTTTCTGCTTCTCTGACTTTACCAGGGATGTCATGTTTCAAACATCAGTGCTGGTTTAGTGACCAACACTCAAGGATCGGTAGGTGCCCTGCTGCCCAGTAGCTAAATGGATTATCACAGCTTAGCTCACTAGTTTAGCTGACTTAAAGTGTTCTGTGTAATTGTATAGCTTTGCTTGGAATGTGAAACTTTTCTCAGCCATCATCCTCTTCTGTGCTTAAGGCCATTAGGGCCTCATTAAACAAACTCTGGCCTAGCTTAATTAATCTCATTAGGAGACTTAAAAGCCTTTGGAGGAAAGTTAGAGTACCGAAAACCTGTAGCAGCAGCAGAGACATTAGAGTGCAGAAGTACCATTTTATGGTGAAATTTATTTTATTTATTTTTTTTAAATAACAAAGGAATTAAAATATTCTGACTTAAATCTGAAAGCCTTTGGTTGTTGAGTATTTTACTTTTCCTTTGAGTATTGTTGTCTGCAACTGAAATTAAACAAGACCTGTCAAATATTTATTTTTTTCCCCCAAATATCTTGTCTTGCTTTTTAGCAAAGTAGTTTTCATTTCTAAGATTTCTATAAAAATGTGTTTGGCTGCTACAAGCGTGTGTTAATGATTTGCTTTGGTGCTTAAAGTAGAGCCACAAAATAGTTTTACACTATGATATGAATTCACTTTCCATTCTTCAACCATCTTTGTTCTCAACCATGCTTCTCAGTGTTACGTTAATAAAAAATAATTGTGATTCCAACTTCTTCTTAATTGTGGACATCCATTAGCTTTTAATTTTTCCTCAGAACTTTGAAAAAACCCCTAACCATCTTTGTCTACTGGTGTTAAATTGTTTTTGTTAGCATGCTGGTATTTGCCTGTTGAATTGTTCTGCCATGAGAACATGCCTGCTCGATGAGCCACATGTTAATTTTGCACATAAAATTCTAAGTATTTCCAGATGAAAACCTTTATCTAGCATTTAAACACATTTGCACTATATAGTTTCACATTTCTAACCACACCCCTAGCCTTTCGGTAGCCCATAAACTCCCTCAATTCCTACTATCTTCTCTTAACATCAGGTGTCTGCATGCTGCTTTGGATGTAACGGTGTGGATTCATGGTCAGGTTTCTTTAAAATGGGTCCAAATACACCTTGAATGTTGAGGATCTGCAGAACAAAAGCAGTTTTGGCCATGTGTATTAGTATAAATTGTAATTCTACGTAGGCGGTGTGGATGTTGATGCATTTGTATCTTTAATCTTAAAATCAGATTCCCGTTCTTATCGGCTAGTCTTTGCGCTGCATTGAGCAGATTTTGTTCTCCGTAACCCTCCTGTCATTGTGGAGTAGACCTGCCCTGTAAGTAGATGACAATGTTTTCAAAACAAAATGCCACAAGGCTCAGGTTCAGCGCTCAGGTTCAGCACACATCTCATCGATCTGTTGACTAAGCAGTGTTGAGCCTAATCTGTGAACAGTACAGGGACATTCAGGTCTCTCACATTCCATATCCCAGAAGGGAAACTTTATCTCTGCTGACTGCCAAACACTCAGCTTCATGTTAGAGTGGATAATTAAGTATATATTCATCATGTCTTACTATTCCGTCCTGCCACTGAACTGAATGCAATAGAAAAAAAAAAAAAATGTGCAGAGCAATTAAGGATCACAAGAAAAATGTGACCAATATTGTTTTAAAAAAAAAAAACATGCTGAGTTTCCCCTTGCCCTACTGCATTTGATGCCCATGCATGTCTGGCTCGATGTGTCGGAGCGAGACAGGCTGGCGTGATTTCAACTTCCATATGCCAGATTCAAAATCCTCTCTGAAGCAGCAATCAGAGAGAAGGAATGGATCAGACTGCTTGTTTCTTTCTTTACTCTGAAATGGTCAGAGCCTCCCTTTGATTTTCCAGCACAAATACAGTTCTTTGGTTTTTTTTTTCTGTTGCCATTGGAGGAAATAGATCTTGACACGTGGGATTTGATTTGCAGGTGGAACAAGCTAAGATTTTAACATTTCGAATTTAAAAAATCATTTTCCTGTTAAAACTTGTCTTTTGTTTCGCTTCATTTTCTTGTCGGAAAACTATTTCAGATGCCATATTTGAATCCATACTGAATCCATATCCTCTCTGCTCTCTTTCTCAGAGAGCAGAGACAGTTTTATGGTATTAGATGCAGTTTGTTTTTTTTCTGTTGCAGTGAGTCTGTAAAGAAGCTTGTTGGATTTAAAAACCTTGTAGATCTAAATCTTGAATTTGCTCTGGCTGGATTTTTGAGACCACAGCACAGATGTGTTAAAGTGGTTGACTTTGAGTCATCTGTGTGTGTAAGAACTAAATGTCATGTATTTTTTCAAGAATTTTACTTATAAGGAAATTTCAATGACGGAAAATATCGATTCAGTTATTTAATACATACAGAGTGATGTATTTCAAGTGTGTTCATTTTTAATATCATGACTTGCATCTAATAAATATTACATTGGTCCAATAATGAAGAGGATTTTTGTTACAGACATGTTGCAACCATTTCATTGGGTTGGTAAAATATAATNTTGTGCTTTGTAAATAATTATGTTCATAACTTCTGGACCAACATGTGAACAAATGGTATTTCACAGAGCAAATGCTAATGAAAACATCAGGAAACTAAGCAAAGCTTGGCCTTCATTTCTTAAAAATTGCAAGGGCCACCTGGATAAATTGCCACTGATTATCAATGCTAGCTTAATTAGCTGCTTTGTACGCTATTCCTACTGATGGGATAAGCTTTGAACAACCTAAAAAGTTCTGAATCGTTATGTACTCGGTTATAAAGCTGGTAAAGTTTTGTTGAAGGAAGTCGGGCACAACCTTGTCTGACTCCAGGCTGATATGGAGCTCAGTTAGACTCTGAACAATACAGCTACACTGTCAAAGTAAATAAAAATATAACTTAGTTTCTTAGTTTGATGAAGTGTCTTCTGTTTACCTGTCGTAGTTTTTGTGTTTGCGTTTCTGATTAGATTTAGAGACATGTTTATTTTTATCCTCCTTGTAATCAAGGTAAACTGAATCACGGCGTATTGCAGGAGTAATTCAAACTCACTTTTAATGTACGCTTGTTGAAGCTGCTAAATTTGAGCTTCTGTTGATATTTAAGCGGAGTTTCAGACAGCTGGATAAATGCCAGAACTTTGCAGGAAAATATGTGGGATTATTACAACAGACGAATGAATATACATTTTAGCTAAAACTTTAAAACCATTACTTAAGAAGAAGGCTTTCTACATTATGTTTAGCTATGTTATATGTACTGCAAGCTAGTTATTTAAGTAGTAGTTGCTTTTATAATTGTTGTTGCACTCATCGCTGATCTGCATTGGCCATTTTGCTGATTACGCTTTGATCTTTTTCAGATCAGATTTTCAGATGGTTTTTCGCGAGGAGTTGCCACAACCTCCCACAGTGTTTGGCTTTTCATCTACTGTGGCCTGAGATGATGTTGTAACGCAGACATGTGAGGACTCGGTTAATGATGCTGCCAAACAGATTTGGGATCAGTGGATCAGCAGCTTTTGTTTTTACAAACATAATGTTATGCCATAAATCAGTACAGATGATATCTGTGCTTATATTTTGGCTTTACTCCTGTTAAAAATAAGTTTGAAAAAGTTTGTTTACATCCTCTGACGGAAAATGGAAAGAAAAGTGAATATTTGCTTGCATTTCCGGCCTTTCTACACTTTTAACTGCAAGTAGCCACAGTTTGCCAGGTTATCACATTTAATACCTTTTTATTTAATTTTTTTTTGTCTACACAAATAACTGTGGGTTGTAAATCTTAATGTTTAAAGCCATTTCATCAGAAGTTATGAGGCACTCGTACATCTCAAAATAGGGAGCAATGTCTGGTTTCAGTATCTTGATTTAAAAAAAAATCATGATGCCAAACCACCAAATCAGATGTGGAGGCTGTTTGAGCAAATGCAACCAATAGCTTAGAAATGACACAAAAAATGGCCATTTCTTTTTTTAAACTTAAAACAATGTTTTTGCTGAACTGTGTTGCCCTGCCTGCTTCCCCCTGCTGATGTCCCAGACATTTTTTTCCTCTTAGTTCAATGTCACTTAATTTGTAGAGAGCAGCTGGATTGCCTCTTTCCACTCAGGTTTCTACAGGTCAATGTTCATAGAGATGTTAGGATTATATTTTCAGTTTTTTTTTTTTTTTTACTTCTCTAAACACATTTTGCTGACCAGCTTCACATTTAGGTGTGATTCATTCTCTTCCATATTTAACTGGCTTGGAAAACAGGTTAAGTGTTGCAATACTTTTGTATTCAGTGTGGTTGCATGTTTGCGTTGTGGCTGTACGGTATGCTGCAAGTTTAGATGGTCCACTTAGTAATTAATCTCTGCAGAACTTGATGAACCAGTATTGGGACAGTTCGTTCCTTAGGTGGAGGGTGTTGACGCCTGTCTTTAGCAATCATTAGCAGTCAGCACAGGAAACCTAAATATTCTTTTGCCAGTTTCATCAGAATAAATGTTCAATGTTTTTGAGAAAAATATGTGATATATTTGTGTTGTATCCATTAGAAACCTGTAATGCATCATGGGAAAAAGACAGCATCAGTTTAATAAAATACCAGAAACTTGTAAACCTAGGCCCATCCCTGTGGTACTTAATGTGATTTGTGCCCTAACCAGCTGCAGTGTATTTAAAAAAAAGTCATAACTTTTTAACTTTTCTGTGTTTTGGGAGATCTTTTATGTGATGGATGAACATAGGGTGGAACATAATTGTGAAAGTACAGGAAAAATAAATCAAAATTCAACAGTTTGTCCATGTTTCCTTGTACTGTTTATATATATATATATAATAACCACTCAGTTTTGTAGTTATTTTCCTTTAGTTGTTGAGCAAGAATGTTACTTTCCTTAACCCAAATACCTTCCTCAGTAATTTCCAAGTGTTGTCTTTTGTGCTAATGTTGAAATGGGGGTACATGAAGTTTTGATGTGCTGGAACATAAAACTTCAACTTTTAGCTTTTCTTTTAGTCTATCAGAATTCTGCTTATGCTCTGTTGCTGCTCTTTCTTCATCATCTGCTTTTATTTCACCAGTTGTCCGTTCCTGGCACAGCAGCTGACCCCCATCATTCCAGTCCTAGGAGGAGCTCTGTTTTTGTTTGTACTGGGGACTCTATTGAGAACCAGCTTCAGTGACCCCGGCGTCCTGCCTAGGGCCACCCCTGACGAGGCAGCGGATTTGGAGAGACAAATAGGTAAGAGATTTCATGTCCATCTTATATATATATATATATATATATATATATATATATATATATATATATATATATATATATATATATATATATATATATCTGCATTTTGGGGTTTCTCTCCTTGTGTTTTTTTTTATTGCTTTTGTGCCAGTATATAGTGCCACAAATGTATTGAGGTCCAACATACTTACTCCAAAGTGCTGAAATAAGCTCTCAATGAAAGTTGTGACATTTTGTTCCAAGAGAAGCATCTGCCTACCAAACTCTACTCCAGAGAGTAGAGTTTGAACCAGAGAGCAACACTTTGCTCTCTGTGCAAAGTGTTGCGTGACTGGTCAGAAGTTTGTTGTCGTGTTTTACACCGAAATGTGCTCGGACAGCAATGTTGATATTTCCATTCGACTATTCTGCTTCCACCATCTTGCAGCAGGAGACACTAATTTTTTTTTTTTTTGAGGAACATTCGTCAGACGTGATGAGAAATTATGTACATTTGTATGGTTCCTCACCAACAACCTCCTAGAAAAACAAGACTAGCAAATGGCTAATGACTCTTGGATGGAAACTGTAACATTGTTTTCCACGGAGGAGGCTGTGTGTAGAAAGTGCGATGCTCTCTCTGTGACTGCTACATAAAAACAAAACCAAGGATTGCAGGGAAGCAGGGAGAACCCTGGTGAGTAAGGACATTTACTGAAGCAGGAGGGGTGTCCCCCAGGTGGTCTGTATGAAAGGTGTGTGCGAAAACAAACAGTTTGCAACCGTGTGACTGTGTGTCGACTGTTCGGCATCAGATGAAGGATGTGGGATCCTTTAGTGATTCTCCTTTGTATGTTCTTTTGTGCATGTCCTGTTTACACAGCTCCCATCCGTCTCATCTCCCCTATCTGAGAAAATGTTCCATGCGTAGCTGGATTCAGCTTTTGTGTGGGTGTTTACTGCCTCCCTGACACATTAACAGGAGGAGGTGTCTTTAGTAAATCTGCACAGCCAAAGAAATAGGGGCTTCAATTGACTTTAAAGGTTCTCTTTGTCTTTGCTGGGATGAATTATTGGTACTGCACTGAACTCTGATCTTTTTATTTAAAAAAAAAAGCTTCTCCAAATACCCCTTTCCGATGGATTACTTGGTCATAAATTGTCATTTGATAAATACCTTATCTAATATATGTTGGCACAAGTAAAACTATTGGTGAATTAGGAAGCACTAATGTTGAACTAACTGAATTAACAGAAGTTAAGAGGATTTTCAGAAAAATTCAATACTTAATTTTAGTAAATTTGTTCAGTCTGGAAAACAAATCCCATATTAGGAAACAATTCATAACATGGAATAATCTTCCTTGTGCAATTATTAATCCCTTTAAAATGTGTTCAGCTGTAGGATTGTTCCTGAAGTTGAGCTTAATTTCTAAGAACATCGTTCTGTTCTCTTGTCCTAGAAGGGTGACATGACATGGAGGCCCATCACTTAGTCACAGGAAACTAGATCGGATGAGGGCCCGTATTTACTTTACCACCTTGCACAGTAAGCAGGAAGGGAAAAGGGGTAATAAAAATCTTCATAGCTCATTATGGGAGAACTGAAGCAAAGAACAGCATCTTGGGGGTCACCAAGTGTCCATAACAACCATTAGACAGTGTGTACGTGCCAGTTGTGTGGGAGTGATACAAGGAAAACAAAAATCCTTTTCTGTTCAATCATCACAAATATGAAAATGATGAGTTTGATAAAGATCACTGGGACTTGAGCTGAGACTGCAGATTTTCCACAAACACTCCAGGTGGGTGTGACGGGAAACAAAGAATGAGTAGTTGGAAACTTCTTTGATGGACCGGTTCCTAACTTTGGACTGCATGACATCAGACTATTTGAAATAGCTCAAGGTTTTAAAGAAGAACAAACGCTGCCATTGGGTCGTCACCGGGTCTTACCACAGGTTAATGATCCATAACAAATGACCAAATTTACTCAGAATGGTTAACCAGGCACAAATTCAACCTTTTTCCTTGGCCGTTGAACTAAACCGTGTAAGACAGGATTGGATGATCTAGAGATCAATCTTATGAAATGTTGCAGGAAAAGACAAAGCAGTGACCAGATCAGGAAACAATTTATTTTCCTACTAGTCACACACAATAAAAAATCACAGTGCTAAATGTACTGCTTTATAAATGGACAGAAGCAGATGATAATAATGATGGCTCATCTCAAATGGATGTTGCCTTGGCTTGAGGTGATGTCAGGAAGATTTGAGGGTCAGAAAAAGGACAGTGTGTAAAGCACAAAGGGATGTCATCCTTAGAGGTTAGTCTCTTGGCTGTTAAAGATAGTAAATATCCTTTTAATGATTAGCTGCGGGAAAATTCCTTCACAGTAAGTTAACAAGAGGGTCGGCATTTGTTGTCAGTACAAGCAAGAATCCATCTGCCCGTTGACTTCATTTCTAGGATTTATTGTGGTCTGCTAAAATTCTTTGTAAGACGTTAGTGACTGTCATCGTTGCAAAAACATATATTCAGTATCGGTGACTCCCAGTGCGTTTTTTTTCTCTCCTGTTTTTCCTTTACATTTTCTGCTTCTCTGACTTTACCAGGGATGTCATGTTTCAAACATCAGTGCTGGTTTAGTGACCAACACTCAAGGATCGGTAGGTGCCCTGCTGCCCAGTAGCTAAATGGATTATCACAGCTTAGCTCACTAGTTTAGCTGACTTAAAGTGTTCTGTGTAATTGTATAGCTTTGCTTGGAATGTGAAACTTTTCTCAGCCATCATCCTCTTCTGTGCTTAAGGCCATTAGGGCCTCATTAAACAAACTCTGGCCTAGCTTAATTAATCTCATTAGGAGACTTAAAAGCCTTTGGAGGAAAGTTAGAGTACCGAAAACCTGTAGCAGCAGCAGAGACATTAGAGTGCAGAAGTACCATTTTATGGTGAAATTTATTTTATTTATTTTTTTTAAATAACAAAGGAATTAAAATATTCTGACTTAAATCTGAAAGCCTTTGGTTGTTGAGTATTTTACTTTTCCTTTGAGTATTGTTGTCTGCAACTGAAATTAAACAAGACCTGTCAAATATTTATTTTTTTCCCCCAAATATCTTGTCTTGCTTTTTAGCAAAGTAGTTTTCATTTCTAAGATTTCTATAAAAATGTGTTTGGCTGCTACAAGCGTGTGTTAATGATTTGCTTTGGTGCTTAAAGTAGAGCCACAAAATAGTTTTACACTATGATATGAATTCACTTTCCATTCTTCAACCATCTTTGTTCTCAACCATGCTTCTCAGTGTTACGTTAATAAAAAATAATTGTGATTCCAACTTCTTCTTAATTGTGGACATCCATTAGCTTTTAATTTTTCCTCAGAACTTTGAAAAAACCCCTAACCATCTTTGTCTACTGGTGTTAAATTGTTTTTGTTAGCATGCTGGTATTTGCCTGTTGAATTGTTCTGCCATGAGAACATGCCTGCTCGATGAGCCACATGTTAATTTTGCACATAAAATTCTAAGTATTTCCAGATGAAAACCTTTATCTAGCATTTAAACACATTTGCACTATATAGTTTCACATTTCTAACCACACCCCTAGCCTTTCGGTAGCCCATAAACTCCCTCAATTCCTACTATCTTCTCTTAACATCAGGTGTCTGCATGCTGCTTTGGATGTAACGGTGTGGATTCATGGTCAGGTTTCTTTAAAATGGGTCCAAATACACCTTGAATGTTGAGGATCTGCAGAACAAAAGCAGTTTTGGCCATGTGTATTAGTATAAATTGTAATTCTACGTAGGCGGTGTGGATGTTGATGCATTTGTATCTTTAATCTTAAAATCAGATTCCCGTTCTTATCGGCTAGTCTTTGCGCTGCATTGAGCAGATTTTGTTCTCCGTAACCCTCCTGTCATTGTGGAGTAGACCTGCCCTGTAAGTAGATGACAATGTTTTCAAAACAAAATGCCACAAGGCTCAGGTTCAGCGCTCAGGTTCAGCACACATCTCATCGATCTGTTGACTAAGCAGTGTTGAGCCTAATCTGTGAACAGTACAGGGACATTCAGGTCTCTCACATTCCATATCCCAGAAGGGAAACTTTATCTCTGCTGACTGCCAAACACTCAGCTTCATGTTAGAGTGGATAATTAAGTATATATTCATCATGTCTTACTATTCCGTCCTGCCACTGAACTGAATGCAATAGAAAAAAAAAAAAATGTGCAGAGCAATTAAGGATCACAAGAAAAATGTGACCAATATTGTTTTAAAAAAAAAAAACATGCTGAGTTTCCCCTTGCCCTACTGCATTTGATGCCCATGCATGTCTGGCTCGATGTGTCGGAGCGAGACAGGCTGGCGTGATTTCAACTTCCATATGCCAGATTCAAAATCCTCTCTGAAGCAGCAATCAGAGAGAAGGAATGGATCAGACTGCTTGTTTCTTTCTTTACTCTGAAATGGTCAGAGCCTCCCTTTGATTTTCCAGCACAAATACAGTTCTTTGGTTTTTTTTTTCTGTTGCCATTGGAGGAAATAGATCTTGACACGTGGGATTTGATTTGCAGGTGGAACAAGCTAAGATTTTAACATTTCGAATTTAAAAAATCATTTTCCTGTTAAAACTTGTCTTTTGTTTCGCTTCATTTTCTTGTCGGAAAACTATTTCAGATGCCATATTTGAATCCATACTGAATCCATATCCTCTCTGCTCTCTTTCTCAGAGAGCAGAGACAGTTTTATGGTATTAGATGCAGTTTGTTTTTTTTCTGTTGCAGTGAGTCTGTAAAGAAGCTTGTTGGATTTAAAAACCTTGTAGATCTAAATCTTGAATTTGCTCTGGCTGGATTTTTGAGACCACAGCACAGATGTGTTAAAGTGGTTGACTTTGAGTCATCTGTGTGTGTAAGAACTAAATGTCATGTATTTTTTCAAGAATTTTACTTATAAGGAAATTTCAATGACGGAAAATATCGATTCAGTTATTTAATACATACAGAGTGATGTATTTCAAGTGTGTTCATTTTTAATATCATGACTTGCATCTAATAAATATTACATTGGTCCAATAATGAAGAGGATTTTTGTTACAGACATGTTGCAACCATTTCATTGGGTTGGTAAAATATAATTGGGTTATATGGCAAGTTGAATTGCCATATAATGAATATGTGTTGATCACAAATTTTATTGATGTCAAAGTTTATTTTGGTGAGGCACCTGATTGTATCCTGTTCTTTTGAGCCTTGCGTGATAAATTGGTAAAATATTCCAGTCAGAATAAATGATTGACTTTATGATGAGATCACAGGAGCCTCTCGGTAACTGAGCATATGGGGATTTACGTGGCGTTTTATTGAGCACCGGTCTGACCTGTTTAATGCCCATCCAATCACGATTAATAATTAATGTTGATCTTTCCACCACCACTGTGATCCCTTTACTTTATAATGTCAAATAGCAATGTCCTCCTCAGTTTCCTTTAACAGCTAGTGGCTAACTTATAACTTTAAAATGTGAATATAGAAGACTAGAGCTTCTTCAGCTGCTAAAAGTAATTGCCAAGAATATAAAGAAATGATGCTTTTCTGCATTTTCTTTGTGCAAAACCTTTTCATCTTAGTTGTAAACTCAGACTGAATTTTTATGGAAGGAAATTTGATCATAAATCAAAGTTGTGAATTCAAGCCTGCTCCACTAAAAGTTGAGTTCCATTCTCAGGGTTGTTGAAGCCTCTTGGTGGCACAGGGCCACTCTGCAGTGCAATGCTGTTGTGGGATGGAAGACGAGGCTTTAAGTACTTGACTTCTATTATAAGCATTTTTGAAAGAAACGCAACGCTGAGCATTTTGTAGTACTTGGAGTGTTTTATTCTCATTGAGAAAAATGCCGTTTTTAATTCAAAGGCTCATTTGCGATTTCTTGTCTGAGATGAAGTTTCATCATCAGACACAATATTATTTTGCATAGACACCGGTACATCAATAATCCTTACATTTTAAAGGACTGCTGACACTCTTTATCATCCGTTCTACAGTCTTGGAAGTGGCATGAGTAAGAAATGGCTGTTTTCTTTTTCACTCCTTCTCTTCTGTGTTGTTGGATTTGCAGTGACGGGAACATGAAAAAGATGGACTGAAAAATGAATATTGTTTGTGACGGAGCTGCTGCTGGGGGAAGCATAAGAACAGAGCTGTCACTGTAGAGCTGTTTAAGTAAAAACTTGTTAGAAAAAATTGAACTGGTCTGGACTGAGAGGATATGCTTATCAGCAAATATTCTCTAAATCAGCCATTTTATCTTCGAGCAAGACGCATCTAATATTTATTTAAGCTGAAACACAAAGTATACCTGCAGTAAACATCATATATATTAACCGAGACTTTAAGCTTTTCATTCTTTTATCCAGATAGATGTTCAGCATGAAGCCGCCTTCAGTGGCATCCTTTTCAGAACAAAATGCCCCTTCCCTCTGGTCTAATGACTGAACCGAGGTCTCAATTGAGACATTTCTCCCTTGAGACCTTGTGGACCAGAGGACGACAATCCTGACTCTGTATTCTGGACAGAAGGCTCTCACGGATGCTGGATTTATTTATGCCGTCTTTCTTTTCATTCTGTCCCCCAATATAATGAGACGTGTGTATATCTTTATCCCATCTCATACTAACATGTGCTTTAAGGTGCCTTATATATTTATATGGTAAATTGGGTTTAAAGTATAAACTGTACGCAACAAGATGGCTGGTTCAGAGAGCAATTAGTTGATGATTTACTACATTGAAAATCTGTAAAAAAAAAAACAAAAAAAACATAAGCCTTTTTGTTTAATAAATTATCACCTCTGAAAACAATGCTCAGTTGAGCTTTTTCAGGAGCTTTTATAAATGCTACCTTTTTTGTATGCAGTGTGGGCACATCAGGGCAAGCACAGAAAAATCTAATTAGCTCAGCAAACAGTAATCAGGAATCCTCATGGAAAAACGATTAAATAAAATGGCATCGCACAAGCTTTGCACTGTGGCAACTGTTCAGCAAAACTTGATCTTTTTTTTCTAACCTGCTCAGTTTTTATTATTAGTCGACACCTCCAGCTGAATGAGAAACACCTTTCGTCAGTGCAAGGGGAAATATTAGAGTTGGAGTTAATTAAAATAGGCAGGTAGGATTTTAGGCATTTTGTGGAATCACAATGAGACCAATGGGCAACATACATACCTGCAGCAACCCTGTGCGACTAAGTTTAGATATTTAGATCCAGCTGTGAGTCTCAAAATAATGATAAACTTGAGAATAGATGGCTTAACTTTTATTGTTTTAATCTTACATTTTTGCAGGTCTCTTGTATTGAGCAACATAACAAAATAGTGAAGGTGACTATGGAAAGTGGAGTTGTAGTTACTATGAAGTCCTTCGTACAATTTATCTACATTACAGTGTATGAAAATAAAAAGAAAAGTATTTCTGTCGCTCGGTCAAAGTCCAGCCTTCAATGTTGCATAAGGTCTTAACATGATTGTTGTAATTTAATTAGCTAAAGCCGTTGTTAATTATACCATTACTGTCAATGCCACTGGAGCAACATTCCTTGACAGTGTGAGGAGTAAGGTGAGACAGAAGACAGTAGTTTCATGTTGAGGCTACGTAGAGGGTGTGTGGTGAACTTGGTCTTTTTAAAACGGCAGGAATTGAGCTAGGCTGTTAAATTACCAAATAATAATGAACACTTAAGTTGTCTTGTTTATGAGATTGCATCCGAATCCTATGAGATGTGACCCTGTAATGATGATTGTGCTTATGAGTGGGTATGCCATGAGCATGCATATGTAAGTGCTGTTACATCGCTCTCCATTGTAACTTGGCCTTGCCTTTTTAGCTTCAAGCTCTTAGACCTGGCCTGTCTCTCTAGGGAATCTCCCTCTAGGCACTGATGTAAGGCTAAACTATGGCTGCCCGGACAGCTAAGTGTACAAAATGGCTTTGTTCAGGAGAAAAGCTACTTTGACACCCCCGCTTTCACACTATTTCACTGCATGTGGACAGTCTGCCCAAGGAGTACAACAGTAAGGTTCATGCTGTAGATTTGCAGAAATGATAAAACTTGATCTTTTAAGCTGTATTGTATGCAGAGTATTTATTCCATTAGGTTATCAGGTGGTGGTGTGCAATTTTATCTTTTGTTTGCCTCCTTATCAGCACGTGTATGAAACTACAATGTTCTACTCATTTGTAAAACACTTATTACCAAAAAAATCTTAATAATTTCAACTTGAATAATTAATATAAAACCCTCATTAATTCTACATTCAAGTGATGTTTTCTCCCTGTTTCCTGGTCCTGGATTCACATCACTCAAAATCCCATTGTGCATGTTAAATATTTCCTTTTCAAATTCAAAAACGAAATTGGAGCACACGCAGCACTGTGCATGAATTACCTGTTATGGTCATTTGCCTGCTTAAGATGTAAAAACTGATGGCTTTGTTTCCAGTGTATACATTTGTACAGTCAAATAAAAATGTTAATATCATAAAAAGTTTAATTTTTTTTTTTTTGCTGCTCCTTTCAGAAAGTGAAACTTGTATTCAAAATTCATTCAAGAATTTTTAGACCGCTTTGTGTTGGTCTAATAGTCCATAAAATTGTATTGAGGTTCGCAGTTGCAACAGGACAAAGTGCGGACGACTTCAAGGGACATTTATATTTCTGAAAGAAATTGGTTTTTGGTTTGGTTTTACATTGATATAATAACCCAAACATGGTCATCGCCTGGCAAGAGCTGTGAAAGCAGATCGTCCTCCAAATTGCTCTCAACTTTGTCATTATTGTCCCTCTGAATGTCCCGAGGGCAGGCGATCGGAGCGGAGGAGAGAAGAGAGCGTGCTGTAGGCATTCCTCACAATAGGGGCACATTCAATAGAAGCTGCATTTCCAATGCTCTCTTTTAGAAATGTCAAACACCCACATAAGCTTTGCAGTCCCTATCCCCCCCACTAATACACGCACACACACACACACACACACACATGCACACATTCTACTCTAAAGACACAGGCTTCACCGGGATCTCAAAATTATCTTCCTACACACACTATTTCCTTCTTTCTCGGTGTAAGAGTTCTCTGAGGAGGCACAGCAGTGGTAGGATACATGCTCTAGTTTTTATCTCATAAAAAATTACTATCATCGCTTCATCCTTGCCGTTTCGTCTCTCACCACTGCTTACTTAGTCTTAAACTCATTTAAAGCAGCTTCTTAGGGGGTTATAGAGTGATGTTTCAGTTATTATATTTCTAGCTGATGCTAGTATTACCTGAACCAGCATTATAGGTTTAAAACGGAGTCAAAGAATTGGTACATTTTTCTCGGTAAAAAAAAAAAAAAAAAATCAGCTTTAATGGCGAAGTCATGCATCCAAACAGTCTGAACAGAGACCCCGCCCCCAGCACTTCCAGGAGTCCCCACTGGGTCTCCATCCCAGCTTTGAGATGTGATGTTTTCAGTCTCTTTTGGTTCTTTCAAAAGCCCACTCGTCAGGGAAATTACTGTTGATCTGTCAATCAGCATCACACCTCTACATCTTGGGGACTGTAGAAAATTAGGTGTTACTTGTGTCCCACAAAAATATTCACGCACACATTAAAGCCTCATGCACCGAGCTCTGCACGGATTCTCATGCCTTTCTTTGGTTCCCTCTTTCTTTTCTCTTGCCCAGATGTGGCCAACGGCACCAAAGGCTACAGACCTCCTCCCAGGACCAAAGAGGTTGTCATCAACGGCCAGACAGTCAAGTTGAAGTATTGCTTCACATGCAAAATCTTCAGACCACCACGTGCCTCCCACTGCAGCCTCTGCGACAATTGTGTGGGTGAGTTTGGCGTTTTCTAAGTTTTAACTGGAAGTTTGAGTCCTGCATGCTTTTAGCATCTAAGTGCATGTTCTCCAGAAGTGCGATTTGTATCACACTTCCGAAGAAAATTCAGGAAATGAATCTTCTCCACATAAACATTAAACATAAAAGTTAAGTGAAAGGTTTTTTTAAAAAAAAAAATCTAAATGTGGAAAGAAACCAAACAAATGTATAAAAACACAAAATTTCATTATTTTTTTTACATGTAAATGAAGGCCATTGTTCATGCAGTAAAAAATATTCTCTTGCTCTTTAGTTTGTCTTTCATATTCAACAACTCCTGTTAGAAATTTATTGGAAGTATTCAGTAGTTTGAGTGGACAATTTGTTTCTATGTGGTGTCTAGTTGATTTAGTTAGCTTTTTCTCTAAATAAAATCATTTGGAAACTTTTTGTGTTGACGAAGGTTATCTTTATTTGATATTCAGCAGTTTTTGATTGGATAATTTTGCTAAGTTTACCAAAAAAAACACAAAATCACAGATCTGATGGGTGAAATATTTTATGTCTTCGGGGAGTACTGTATGTTGGCTGAGACCACTGTGACTTCACATTGATTTTGGAAAGATTGTGTTTGTTACTGATAACACAAGTCGAGCTAAATATCTGAAATGTGATGCAGACCTGCTGAGAAAAGGGCATCAATTGAAAACTTGTTTACTGAAATTATACTCAGTTCATCCCTCCATTGAATGGAAAAATGGTCTTCATAAAAAAGAGAAAATGTAAAGATTTTCTTCTGGTTTTGTGTGTGTGTGTGTGTGTGTGTGTTTTTGTTGTTTTTTTTATAAAACACTACACAAAAGATGTTTAAAATAAATGGTTATCAGGAGCCTCATTGGTCCTGATAACCAATGAGGTTATCAGGACCTCATTGGTCCTGATAACCTCAGGACCAATGAAATACCGGACCAATGAAATACAGAGCTGACTCTTTAGAGTCAGCTCTGTATTTCATTGTCTGTTTCCCTGTTGGAGCAGTTGGGCAACATTTGAGACAAAGATGAAGAGTCTATAAAAGAAAACGATGAAAAGATGGTAATCAGACAGTTTGTGCACACTGGCAGAAAGGAAGGAAGGAAGGAAGATTTCATGAAGATGGAAGAACAGCTGACAGGCAATGTATATTCTTACATAAAGTTGTATTTTATGAATTTTGTAAGCAGATGATTCATGTCTAACAAAAAGAACTAATGAGACTCAGCTGTTCTGGTTTTGTTTTATTTTTTTTAAAGATGAGACAGAGCAGGAGGTTTGCACCGATGAATTGATTTCTGAAATGACATTGACAAAGGCCTGCATTGTTACAGTTGTATGCTGCTTTGTTTAAACACAAATTTTAGTTTCCATACATCCATTATCTAAACACACTTATCCCTGCAGCGTTGCCAGGGGGGCTGGAGCTCATCTCTAGCAGCCATTGGGCGAGAGGCGAGGTACACATCTTGGACAGGTTGCCATGCCTTTGCAGATTTTAGTTTGTGAATTGAAATAAATGATAGATATTGCACTGATTCACAAGGAATGCCCTCTAAAGACACTTGCACACAAAAAAACATACAATTTATATACACACTGTCAGTTAAATCCAAACTTATATAAAGATTCAGATACAACTTAAGTTGTATTCCAATATTCACTCCTTGTTATTTAACAATGCAGTCAAGTGTAATTTATTTAAATTGGTTAAAACTTTTTTGTCTAATGAAATCGTGCTGGTTGCATCGAGCCACTGAATTTGCATCATTCACTCCTCCTGGGTGAGCATGTGGTGGGGTGTCTCTTGCATTGTGTCGCTGACTTTGCAGCAGTTCCTCACAGCGAACATCAGAAAGGAAAACTCCTCTTTAACAGGAAGAAACCTTCAGCAGAAGCTGGAGGGAAACGAAGCAGGAGAGTCTGCCACAGATTTAGATTTAGATTATTTGGGTTGAGTGACACGACAACCTCTGAAAATAACTTTTTAATCTATTTATAGGGAAAGCATTCCAGGCTGGTCTCAAATATGTCTTCTCTTAACTGAGATGATCATTAACCTTAGTTTTAAAAAGTAATTATACAATGTAAAACATGAATATAAACACAGATTTAAAAGAAATGACTGGAACCGTGTGGGTGTGTGTATGTGTAATAATTTTTTATTTATGAAAACTGGGATAATGAATGAAAAAGATAACTGTTGTGATCTGAAAGTTCATTATTTCCGTTTTTCAGTCCATGTAAAAGCCGGGGAAAACAAATGTCACAATTTCTGGTGGTAAATTTACTAAATTTCCTGAAGCTCAACAGAATCAGCATTACAACTTTTAAAATGTTTGACAGGGACAAGATTAATAACAGAAATAGTAAAAAAAAAAAACAACAACAGTAGGTTGTAATCTGCTGGCCTTTGGGCAGAACTGAATTTAAATGGACATTATATTGACTCTAATGGGTTTATAAGCATGAGTTCAGAATCCCTGCAGAAAACTGTTCCCAGTAAACACATTCCATCTCTGAAGTCAGAGCTTCAAGTCTTAGCTCTGCCAGCCAAAGACAAATAACACATATAAACAAAAACCAGACATGCAGCTGCCTTCTCAGGGCTAAAGCTGAAAACTATTTTTAGACCATTTTGGAAATCCTGGACAGCACATCCGCTGGGTTGAGAAGAGAGAGATCCGACTTGTTGTTAAAAGATCTGAGTTTTTGTGGCCAATTTCTTAAACTGCAGTTCAACTCTACCATGTCTTCTAAATGTTTATTAGGGTTATGGGGTGAAATAGTACTGATGCAGGTACAAGTGTAAAAATACTTGTTTTAAAAGTAAAATATGTTTTTAGTTAAAAAGGCAGTAAATATTCCAACTCAGCAGCTTGAATATGTTTTTAAATGTTTTTCTCTTTATAAGTTGCAATTTAAGAATGCTTTTTTTTTTATTGTAGATTTCCCAAAAACTTACACACCTTCATTTCTAAACATGTAGTAACTGTAAAATTTTATCAGCTTTAGGTCGTGTGTCTCTAAATGATTGTCGTAAAGAACAAGCGCGATGATATTTCTTCTAAAAATTAAAGAGTTTTCTTGTTCCGATAACAAAGTAAGGAATGTGTTTCTAAGTTTTTCTGCTTGTGGTGTTGTAAAAGCCAGAGGGATAACATGCTGTTAAATAAGTAAGACGCCAAAATGGATATCCTCACCCCAGTGGCTGTCCCGGATAATAACATGGAAGATTCACTGCCTTTTTATTAAGGTTCTTCTATCCCTTTGGGTGTGATAGAAGTAGGTTATGGCATGCACAGAATTATGACATGCTATTGCCTGTGTGGTTTAAACTGGCAGCTATCTGTGTTTTTAAGTCTGGATGAATGCTGCTGCTTGTCTGAGTTAACAGAGGGTTGGAATTGAATAATTGATTTTAATGGTAATTTTATTGCTCTTTTGATGTGCTTCAGTTTGAGGACATTCATAGCTGCAATAAGCCCTTTGGGGGATTTGTGTAGTTATGTAAGCAGAAAATAAATGCATCAAAAGAATTCTGGTAAATAAATATGAATATATTGCATTATTATGACGCCATTTAGAGGCATCAGTTCCCTTTTAAAACCATATATTGCTACAGAGTAGTTTCAGCATTGGTTTTTATGATATAATGTTAACATAAAATGTTTACGGTTTCCAGAGAAAGTAGGAGAAGAATCTGTCAATAAAAGCTTCACTTTCTCATCTAGTTGCATTGGTCACTTGATCATAAAAATTCTGACGGACTGTCGCAATTGGCTTCGACTAGTTGTAGCTGTCCTTTCCCATGGGCCAGAGGCTCCAGCTCCAGACGTGTTTCAGTCAGGCATTGATCAGCGGAGACAAAAGCAGGTCATTTCACCTCACTAAGCTAATAATGGAGCTAATTAATTAGTTAAGTAGCTACCGCTGAGCACGGCACGTAGTCTGCACTCAGAGATTAGGCTGCGTTACTCGTGGGGATTAAATAACACCAAATACTTCTCCCTCAGAGAAATCAGTGAAATAAGAGTAATGAACTGGCTTAATGATGAAATAAAACACTGCTGATCTATGAAACGCCACATAAACCGTCTTTTCAGCTCAGTGGAATATTTTTGAAGCACTTTTTACTTGGTTTGTTTTTATCTCTCATGTGATCAAATTTTCGCAGATTGACGTACCAAGACTACCACTTCATTTGTTTAGTTGTGAAAGCGTTTGATTAACCGTCTTGATTGTTTCACAGATTGTTTCTGTCCCGTGATAGCTTCGCCAGTCAGCTTGTATTTGCTAGATTTAAAAAAAAAAAAAAAAAAATCCAGTGTTGGCATCTGTAATTTTTTAATATATTTTTCTTTTTATTTTCACAAATATTCAGATTTATTCCGAAATTCAGATCAACTCGTCAGTCTTAAACTTTTCTTATGTCCATCTCTCTGCCGAGATGGGGGCATCCCTTTCTCCACTCAGTAAAGCTTAATTTGCAGTGAGGCTTTGGTTTACACAAATTCTCAGCAAGGGTTATATAATCATCTATAATCTTGTTTTTTCTCTCTTTTTTGTTTTTAAAGCTCAAACTTCAGTGTCTTCATTGTGTAACTTCAATAACTTCCTGATCTCCCTCTCTGTGTCCTTGCAGAGCGTTTCGACCACCACTGTCCCTGGGTGGGAAACTGTGTGGGAAGGAGGAACTACCGTTTCTTCTACATGTTCATCCTCTCCCTCTCCTTCCTCACCATCTTCATCTTCGCCTTTGTCATCACACACATCATTTTAAGTAAGTAGCTCACTGGCAAAGTGCAGACAGACACACACTCTCCTCCTGACTGCGCTCTCAGTGTATTTCAAGCCAGCAGGTTGTAAGTGGGCGGTGTGAAAAGCTGCAGAGTTCTGGCTCGTCACCGGCCTTCCAGCTGGGAGCAGCCGGTGGACGGCTCAGTGCGTCGTCCTTTTTGGTTTTTGTGGTGTCGAATCATACTTTATGGTGTAAACCTGATCTGAGGATGGAGGGAAAAAAAAGAGGGAAAAATAATAATAATAAACTTCTTAAGAGCAAATGGAACTTATAGATTTGTATTTTTCATACTCCCACTGGATCCCATGATTCACAGCTCAGTCCTACATTTGTTATATGTAGTCGTGATGAAACCTACCTACCTACCTACCTATCCACAACTCATGGGTAGTGGAATATTAGTTGATGTTTAAATAGCGCTTAACTTTTGGAGTTTTTTTTGTTTGTTTGTTTGTTTGTTTGTTTGTTTTTATAAAATTGACCTTAAAGTGTCTCCTAAAGCTAGAGTAAAGCTAAAGTATTTGCCTCCTTACAGATTTTCTCTGTTTGCTTTTCTTGCCACAGGTGAAAGATTTATGGCTTTCAGATCATCAAACAGCAGTAAACACTGGTTTGATATATAAAGAGGAAAACACGTTCTAAGTAATTTTTTTCTCTCATTTTGTCAAAAGCTGAGTTCAGCTGAAGTAGGCTAAAATATGTCAAAAAGCCACGGCATTGCCTAAATCCAGATTTATTCAAGAATGCAAGGGAAACCAAGTCATTACCTCTGTCAGACTGGAAGGAGTTTAAAAGTCCTTTAAAAAGATTTGGGACTTCGGCGAACCACACAGCAAGACATGATGCATAAAAGGTGAAAACTTGGAACACTAATAAACTTTTCTATATTCTGGAAATATTAAAACACAGATAATAATATGTTGCAATAGGGAAGACTATTTTATCAAGCACTTCATTAGTGTCTTTCTCTGAAGTGTATTCTTACTGGAGCAGGTTCTGTGCTCTGAATACCTTCCTTAAATCTGAGCAGAAAGTTTGGACAAGAGAAAATAGAGGAATTCAGTAGGAAGGAGACCTTTGAGGTCCTTTAAGTTCACACACAGCTGCCACAGTCGGGCAACTGAACAAGAGCCTGCCTGCTATTTACACCATCGATCGATCGGCTCTCTGTTTCCTCAAGTTTTGGGTGATCGGCTGATACTTGCATCTAAAAGCGATCTTATCTACCTGTACAAAGGTGTGAATGTCAGCCACTGTCCCCTTTTGCTCTGCCAGGAGGGAGGGCTGACTGACAGATCCCGCTTCAGGCAACTTGGTGTAGAACTATGAATCCTGCTATCTAGATGTTTTTCAATAAAATAAGACTGGAACAATGAAGGTGTATTGTGACCTTTATAACACCTGACAGTGTCAGTTCTAACAACAACAAAAAAAAACTATCAAAATTGGAAAACGATGGAGAATATGAGAAGAAAAAAAAACGTGATGGAGACAATCAAACCCTGGTGCTGGTCGTCTGAAGGTTTGGGTCTGCTTTACTGCTCCATACAACTTGTGTAGAACTATAAATCCTGCTCTCTAGCAGAAAATCCTGCTGGAGTGTGTCCAGACTTCAGTTCATAGATTTAAGGATTATGCAGCAGAACAATGATCCGAAGCAAGTTTGCATCTGAATGACTCTGGAAATAAACAAAACAATTAAAAGTCATAGCCTGGACTTAAATCTAATTAAGTAGTAATTATTCATGCTTGAGCACCATTCAGTGTGGTTCAGTAAGAAGAATGTGTTAAAATAAAGTGAGGCAAAAGACTAACTGGCATAATTTTGTGTTTACTCGGGTTATTTTTGTCTCATAAAAAAAATGTTTGATCTGAAACATGCAAGAGTGATTTTTTTTTTTTTCTTCAAAAATAGAAGAAACTTTTAGGGGGGAAATACTTACTGCTTCACAATACTATAAGTGAGCACTGCATCCAGATCTTTTGCACATGCTCCCGAAAAGCAACTGCATTAAATGTCTAACAGAAAGTACTTTTCTGTGTTCACAGGTTCATATCAAAAGGGATTCCTCACTGCACTTAAAGAAAGTCCTGCAAGATATCCTTTTGCCAAACTCCGAATAGTGTGAGCTGATGAATATCTGCTTTATAAGAGGGATTTCTTTGACGTTGTCTGATGATTGCCTTATTACTGCTAATTCTAATACTTTTGGGGGGTAAAAGGGGTTTTCTGCAGTTTCATAGATAAACCAAGCAGCAGATAAAATTCTAATCCAATGGAAAAAGACCAGTAGAATTTTATTTTGCACTAACTGCAAAGAATCTAAAGAAAATGACTGATAGGATATATTTTTAATTATTGACAGTGTTTTGCAGCAGCTTTTTTTTTCAGGTTTGAATATGGACATCAAACTGTATGCAAAGTTATACCGCTGAACATTTTAATTCATTTTGCCAATGCCAGAAATAATTGGCTTTGCAGCTTCCACAGAAAAAAACCATAATGGCTGTTGTATAATTAAGTTTCCTTAAATTACATTATGACTTTAAACCCGGCCAATCCCACAATCTGTCATAATCAGTTAACATCAGTCTGATACATGAATTATTGACCCTTTGATCGAACAATCTGACATATTTACAGAGAAACGTGGAGATTTCCTTTTAATTTTCAGAATGGAATTTATTTAAATTCAACAAAGGATAATTATACTTCAACTGAGAAAATAAGAATCAACAAGGAATTATTATTAGATTGTATTCATTACTAATTAATTTGAAAAAAAAAAAAAAGAACACCACCTTAAGAAAGACCAAACTATTTATACTCCAAAACTACCAGGTCAAATGGAAGTTTTATGATTAGAGAAGTAATGTCTAGAATATTCTCTAAACTGATGAAACATAGAGCTTCAGTTTTTTATTAGTGTGAATAAATGGGTTTTCTGGACTCTTTTTGTGATGATGGTGGTCTTTATAGGCAGTGATCTAACAGGAAATGGGCAGAGAGAGAAGACACGGAGCAGATGTCCGAGGGTCGGGAATCAAACCCCCTGGTGACTGCGTCGAGGACTGGAACCCCCACGGGTCTCATTTTATGTCTAAGCGCTGCATTTATTTAAGAAGGGAAACTAAAAAGGGAGATGATCGAGGCTTCAAAAATAATTTGTTTCAACAGCTTTAAGCACCAGAATAGCAGGAATAGAACTGAAGAGTGATTTATATGACCTGAAATTGGCCTGTGGTGTCATTTACAGAAACATTTGTGCTGTGGTTCCCTCTCTGCTATCTGCAGCTTGACTAATGCGGAAATCTTGGTTCAAGCTGCTTCTGTTGTTTCCTTCAAAACTTCTGCGTGGTTCAGTAGTCTGGGTGTCTTTATGGTATGCAGAGACAGACATGCACAGTTCTTTATTCAAAAATAAATGCAGTGTCTGATGGAGATTGAGTCTTAGGATCTGGAGCTTCCAGGGGAGGAGACATCCGAAAGACCTGATCAGCCAATCAGGAGAGGACTTGTGGCAAACAGAGCGGTGCTTTGTTAAACAACCAATAATAGATTTTTCCCCCCTAAAATAATATTAGATTCAGACTTCAAAGTTTAAAAATATCTATCATGACTTTAAACAAAGTCCTGTCTTCACATTACTATATATTCTGTTTGCTTGACAGTCAGCAACATTTTTCTTTAAAAGTTGCAATAGATTTTGTTGTTCTAAAACATCCATCCATCCATCCATCTTCTTTACACCCTTGTCCCTCAGTGGGGTCGGGAGGGGTGCTGGTGTCTATCTCCAGCTAACGTTACGGGCGAGAGGCGGGGTTCACCCTGGACAGGTCGCCAGTCTGTCGCATATTCTAAAACATCTTGAATTAAATTTATCATATTAGGTCTGTTTTGGAGGATGCTACATACGATATGTTGTTATTTTCACTAGGATAAAATGCATGTTTTTCTTTCTTTAACTTTGTTTCCATTTTAGTACCTACTACATTTATGGCAGCCATATGTAGCTTTGTCTACACCTTCATCATCTTCCTGATATATTTCCAGTTACTCTAAATCGAATTTCTATTATTTTTGCTTCTCTATTAACTTTATGCTGCATGTTTAAACATTTAATTATCCCCTTTCTCTGTGCTTGAGTGAGAACTTTTTTTTATATTGATGGGTGGGGGAAAAAAAAAAAAACAAGGTTAAAGATTAATTGAGTTTTGGACGATTTTAAAGTACAGACTCCATGTCTGTGAGTAACCATCTCAGGCACTTCTTTGAGACACTAAATTATGAAGTAGTACAATCTGAATCTTTGTGTCTTTTTAGAATAAAATACACTCTTACAGAGACTATCCTAAGATGTAGTACATGTCCTAAGGGGTCTTTGACATTGAGTTCTGTTAATGTGAAATGATTTTCTCCAAGTGTTTATGTATTGTGGGCTCTCAAGTGAGCACATGAAATGAGTTGTGGTCTACAGCTAGAGCCAAATTGAACTGCTAACTGGGAAGTGTTAGCAAGTGGGCGGCCCTCAGGCTGTAGGTCACTGTAGTCTCTGCTACAGCTGCATTTTTATAGTCCATCTTGGCTCTAAATGGGTCTGTTATGTACCGGTCTATGAGCTTTTAACATTGTCGTCTGTAGTGTTGTTGAAAATGATTCCTTAACCTTGATGGTGTCACTGTGCTGGAGGTGGTGGTGTGTTTTTTCTCTGTCTGGTCCATAGTGGGCCTCTCAGGCTTCCATACCTACCTGATCAGCTCCAATCAGACCACAAACGAAGATGTGAGTATGAATACAAAAGTATTTATTCAAGACGATTTGTGAGCAAATCAACATGTTTTGCTCTTTAGGTTTATGTTTCTTTATTGAGTAATTTTAAATCGAAATGAAATAAACAGGACTCAAAATAAAAGCTTTTTTTTCTCAATTAAAGTAGGATATTTGGAATTGTGTCCAGAATTATGTTTTTATATATGCTGGCAGATTAAAAACCTTTAAATGGCTGGATGTACCCAGATCTTTTATAACAAATAAAAATAAATGAGTACTCCCAAAAGAATAAATAGAATATTAATAATTGATGATGTTTCTGGTGTCAACCCCTGGTTACAACAGGGTTCCACTGCTATTGTAGGTGCCAGAGTGTGAAAGGTTTGGGAACCACTTACTTAAAGCGTAAAAACTCATGTTTTATGCAAAAGTCTTCTCAAAATGTATCCTTAGCTTGTGTTTATTTACTTGACATGGGTAACCTTGCCGTAACATAGGCTCCACGAGGAATATAGTTTGTTGGTGCTCACTCCTAACATGTGCACGCAGCTTGAGCTCTGGATTCTTTTCAACTCGGAGCAGAGAAAATGTTATCGCAGCTTGGTGCAGTCCACTCTGCTCGCCACTGCATGTTGTTAATAATGTCAAGGACACTTACTTGAACTCTGTATGTGCCACCAACACTTTCAGTATCAACACAAGTGCATCTCTAAGACTCTAAATGTCTTGTTGTTTAAAATGTGTCATCTCTTCCAGATTAAAGGGTCGTGGTCTTCCAAAAGAGGGAAGGACAACTACAACCCTTACAGCTCTGGTAATATATTCACCAACTGCTGTGTGGCACTTTGTGGACCCCTGCCACCAAGGTATGACTAGTGTGTGTGTGTGTGTTTGCAAATTTCCAGATGTCCACATTACTTGTTCAGCATATACATGGTTGTCACCCGCCATATATAAACAGAGCCAATCTATTTCGCAACCCCACTGTGAAAGTGACATTTAAAGAGATGTCCTGGATTTTGAGATCCTTGTCGGTCTTATTTCATTTTTTTTTTTCCCCCTCTTTTTACTGAAATAATTAACTCCTTTTTCCCCCCTCATTGTAATTTTTAGTTTTCCCCAGAGGCCAACTTTTAAACGGTCCGTTAAGACTCTGTTTGATGTGAGGAACTTCTTTGAAATGAGCCTCCCGGCGGCCTTTTTCTAAACTTAGCAAAGACGACACAGGAAGAGTGTAAACAATTTCAGGCCTATTCTAACCACATCCCAGATCAAAGCTTTTTAGACATGTTAGATTTCATCCTTTTTCTGGCCATTTACGAGCCATCTGTCACAGCTATGTTCTCCTCTCCATGTGACCTTAAGCGTCGCTGATATCCTCATAGCTTCAGTAGTTTGAACAACTGTTCACATTTCTTTGAAGCTGTGGTTCTTGGTGGCCTTTCCCCGATTACTCTGAGCACTAACTGAACAGATACCTAGAAGTGAGTGTCTTTTCTGGCTGCTGTTCCCTTTTTTTTTATAAAGAAATGAGACTCAAAAGATGTAAAAGAAATAATTAAAGTTTTGATTCTCTGCATTTTATGTTCCTAAAGAGCATAGACAATCATTTTACAACTTTTTCTTTTCAGTTCTGCTTAACCTTGTATTAGCTTTGATGTCCGAAACTGAGATATATAAAAACAAAAAGAAAAAGCACAGCTTAAAGTTGCAGAGGAGTGACACACTTAGTGGTACTGATGGCACTGATGGTAGAATCTGTTAATTCTGCCATCAGCGCATCCTGTAGTGTTCATCCAAGACAAAAGTAGAGATAGCAAGGTCATTAGGTAAAGATTCATAGCTATTAAAAGGAAGAAGGAAGTCAGCAGCATTGGACGCTAAACAGTCCAGTACCATTCACAGGGATGTAAAAGCTCCCTTTGGTAATTTACCACAGTGGTGATTACTGGTTGTGACAAAAATCTGAATCCTTGAAAATCTGAAAGTGCTCTGAAATTAATAAAAACGCCCAAGAGCTTGTGGTTCTGTAATATGTCTGTCATATAAATGTATCCATAGATGCCCACACCATAATGCAAAGTAAGAAGTTCTGCCGAAGCCTTTTAGAGACTTTCCTAATAAGCCATTTGGGTGCACTGTGCTCTGGCCGTCTCGGGCAATAAATCTCCAGTAATGATTCCTGTGGGTGGTGAGGAGAGTCCTCAGTGCACAGGTGGCTGCCATCTGGGCATCTGTGTCTGTGTTTGTAGCCACAGGCGCCGTGCAGCTGGATCCAGCAGTATTATGGGAACGTCTTCCCTCGTCTAAAGTCCGAGCAAGCAGCACCGCCTCTCACGTTCTCATGCGCAGATCGCCGTGTAGCATTCTCTGCTGACACCTTGAATAGTGCCTTTATATGTGTCTTTTAATGCAACTCGGGCTGCTGCTGCGTTCTCCCTTTAGTTGATTTCTGATTCTGAGAAACACATTTTTCCCTGCAGCCAGCTCAGCCCCACTGAAACCGTCTGTCCAGGCTTCCTTGTGTGAAATGATTATCCCGTTTATGCTGTTTAACACCTCTCTGGCTGCATGCTTGTCTGCTAGATATTGCTCTGTGTCTGATCAACCTCTGTCTGGCTGATAAATGGCCTCCGTTCGCTGTACGTAGCCCATTAGCGCTCACGTGTGCATGTGCATACCAGGGTTCAGCAGGTTGTTGTCTAAGCAGCCGCGTCAGGGCTCTGCAGCATTAACGACGGGACAGAAACAATGATTCACTCCGCTGCCCCACTGCAGGACTGCAGTGATTTATCACGAAGTTCTGGTTTTATGGATCTCTGTTGGTGGAAATATGGGGGTCTGCGCTCTCTCAGCCTCTCTCTTGGTCAAGACTTGAATAATAGAGTTTGTGCACAACTTTATGCATCAAAGTATTTACAGTGTGGGCACATCAAAGGTCATTTCACCTGTCATAATTCTCTCCACCTTGAAGGAATTATGACAGTTTATCTAACTTTAATGTCTTGTTACGTTATTGTGGTTTTAATAAAGATAATCTTGGAATGCTGTTGCTCTGTTATGCTGTTTGCTGTGTGTCAATGAAGCCTTTTAGCTCATCTATTCTCGCATTTCTCTGCAGTCTCATTGACAGACGAGGCTTCATCGAAGCAGACGCACCACAGATGGCACCACCGACCAATGGCATCACCATGTATGGTGCCACCCAGTCCCAGCAAAGCCACATGGTAAGACGCAGACCTGAGACCACTCTTGTTTCCTCAGGGAGATTTAATAAAAGTGAAAAATACAGATTTGAGTTTCACCAGTTGATGTGGATGTTTATACAGTTTGTGCTCAGCTTGTTTACGTGCAGAGTTTTGTCAGAAATGGAGCAGAGGTGAGAACAGGATCCCTTTGCCATCTCACTACTTTAATTGGACAAATCTTTTCTAATCTGTGGCACAGAGCTGCAACCTGCATGTGATGTTTTAGTCCCGTCTCTCTTGGTAACTTCTGGTCAAAGAATTGAGTTTTAAAATGTGAAGATCGTTAAAATTAAATCCTAACTTTAGCAGTGTTTCTATGGTGTTTTCAAACGATATGTTTGACCATTTCCATAAAGAATGACACCAGTTGTGTAAGGAATATTCCTTTTTTTTGCAAAGCAATTTTTTTTAAAGATTGAATATTCTTTTGAAGAAAAATGTTTGAAAACTAAAAACAAGAATAAAATTGTTCCTTACTTGAAAAATTTCAATCTTCGTATCGTGGGTACGATTAAAAATAAGCTATGTTTTTAAGAGTTCTATTGCTTCTGAGCACATTATGTTTAGCTGAACCAAAGGCGGAAATGCCTCTAGTTTGTTGATTTTGGTTTAGATCAAAGCATATTCATGTTAGAATTGCTTAGACCTTGCATCTGTAACTGCTGTGAAAGGTTGTTTTGCAACGTATAAAATATAAATATGTCCTCACTTCAGATATATTTTTTTTGTAAAACAATTTATGCATTCTTTCAATTCAAATTGATGCTCTACTTCGTGTTGAGCTATGACACAAATCCTAACGCAACACACTGAGGTTTGTGGGGGGAACATGACGACATTTCATAAAGGTGTTACTGGTTTTGGAGAACTCTAAGTACAGTAAAATGAGAAAACACTTCTAAGGCTACACACACTCTGTGTATTGTTCATAGCTAGATAATTAATTTATTGTTGAACCACACGTGTTTGGAGCCATGACTTTTTTCCCTAGTGTTTTACCTGATTTCTTGTTTTTAGTTGATATCACAAGGAAGGAGTGTGTTTGAGGTGTTGCCTTAAAAATGTCTATAGGTGTGCCTCTGATAAACTCACATAATTTGGATTATTTTATCAGTGACAACATCATCTGGGATTTTACAAGTTGTGTAAAGGTGGGTTAATTTTAGTGTGCAAGCAACAAGTTATCTCATTATTCTGGCATTTAGCAAATATAAATAATTTTGGGGATCTTAACTGACCGAAAACAGGAAAAGACGGGCTTAAATCCGAAGATGTTGCGCATTTTTTTTTTTTTTTTCCGAAACAACCCGAGATAATTTAAGCTACTTGTCCATATGTGGTTAATTTCTTTAAATAACCCACCACACAACGAACTCCACCCGTCTGTATTGCTCACATCAGAGAAAGTAAATCTAGTTGCTGTTTCTCTCTGGATTTAAATTGATGGTTTTGCTCTGGATTCCAGCGAGCAAGTCAGCAATAATTTCAGCTGAGTACGAGACGTTCAGTGTTGCTTGTAAATTAGGTCAACAGAAGCAGTGCTGAGTGTTTTTTTTTTGTTGTTTTTTTTTTCCCTGCCACCACGCTGAAAATCTCCACATTGCAGAGCGACATGAGCTGGAGAATGAGTCGGTCCATTGTGCTCCAAAAGTCAACAACCCTTTTCTTAAAAGTAGCGTCAGCCTGGGAGAATGCTTGGTGTTGTTCAGGCGACCTTGTGTCACTCTGACGCCTGAATGGAGGCAACCGGTGTTTACCTCACACATTGCAATCTCGCCGTTTCACTTCTCCCCACTGTGCACCACAGTCGTCCTCTTTGTTCTCGCCCAATCTTGACCTCGTCATACTTTATTTTACGCGAACGTGAGCCGTCTTAACGTCGGAAGTGTGCGTTGGGATGTAAGCCGAAGGTGCGTTCCCCTACGTTAATGCATCCAGAAATAACGGCCGTCTGTCCGCTACAGCTGGCCTGTAAACCTTGCGTCGCATTACAAAAGTTCTTATCAGTCATCCAGACAATTGTCCACTTCTGTTAGGTAACGCCAAGATGTGTTTGGAGCCAAGTAAACAAAGCGCATTTGTTCCCCTGTTTTTGTCGCATGTTGGGTTTGCCATTTTTCCCGGAGTTTCAAAACGCATCTAGATGTTTCCATTTGTCTGGCGATGAAAGCTCCGCTTCCTTGTGATGTGTTTTGTCTGCGATGCTGCTCAGAAGCCTGACAGCGTGCCATGCAGAGAGAGGCCTTTTAAGCTGTTGCTATGGTAACAATGGATAATATGAAGGCACGTCACACCTTGATAACAAACCCCTCCGGTCTGGATTCGCCTCAGTTGAGGAGAAGCCTCAGCACATCTTTGTGTCGCCGTCTGAACGTTGACTCGTCTCTAATAAGATAGAATCTAAACATCTATGAGCTCTGAGTGGGATGGAAATAAACTGTTGTTGAAATCATGATGCAGTTTTTACCCTTCTTCGTTTCTCTTCCTCTCACACCCAGAGACCAGTGTGGTCAACCACTATTTCCGTGTTGATCATTTCACCATAAGAGACTGTTAAACCCACATCATTTTCAGTTTTACCACCCAATTTCCTTCCTTCAGTTGCATGACTTTTTCTTTCTCGTAATAACAGCTCAGATCTTTAGTGAAACAAAACGTCTCTCAGTTTTTAATCCTGGTTTCTTGCTCAGGCTGGACTCTATAAAGTGTTTACCTCCCAATAGGAGATAAACACTTCTGACTTGTGAGGTTTGTCTCATATTGAGACCTTTCTAAATTGAGTAGATTAGAATAATAATTCTAATTAAATGGAGGCAAGTTATTAATACTAGGTCTTAAATTATATTTGTAGAAACATTGAATTTGTATATCTGTAAGGAAAAATAACAAATTTAAAAAGCAAATTTCATGGTTTCTAGTTCTGGCAGAGGTATATGGATGTTCTGCTGTGAGAATGAAGGAAACAAAAATTCATTCCCAGAAATGCAGCTTTCTCCACTGCTGCTAAAACTGATTTATTGAATGTTTTAGGCAATTAAAATCAACATAGTCGTCTTACATTATTCACCACTGCATTATTAGTTCAGTTAATTTAATTAAAATTGGTCTGATTTCAAAACCTTGTAATAATAGCTCTGAAGTGTGAACATCTGACTTGTCGCATCATATTTTTTGCCATTTTTTCTTTTTCTTTTTTATTCTCAGTGAAATTTATTGGTGGTATTAATTCCTCAAAGCCCATAAGATACAGCAACAAATAAACATGTCAAAGGGATTTTATTGCTGAGTATGTTGTCTTTCTCAAACCCTCTCAAGAGAATTTATATACAAGGTTTGGCTTGAAAGTCTTTTACAGATTTTAATAAGATGTATGAATCTGATCAAGCTTACTATGTAAAAGGAGTTGAAGTAAAAGAAATGCAGCCACATGCCAGAGCTTTAAAATGGCAACATACCTCTGCAGAATATATTATACTTACTATTAATATGGAGATCTTTAATTTAGAATAGATAAAAACAAATTAAATCTTCACCAGAAACCTTTGGAATGCAGTTTTTAAGTGATCTTTTCAAATGAATACCTTGGATCTCAACTTACGACTCTGAAGCAATCGGACGCATCACAACGATCTATGAGGAAGCAAAAATAAATACTGAGAAATGAATGACATGCTGCAGTCTCACTTTGCCGTTTTCTAAGGGTAATCGGTGAAACTGGGTGTAGTCGGGATGCAGAGTAGAACCATAACTAGAAGCTTAAGTTCTTAAGTATAAACGTTTGTTGTCGTCATGGCTGCGTGTCGGCAAACCAAAACACATTTTCTCTGGATCACCTGCGGTTCAAGGCTGGTCTGAGCAGTCTTGTCTCTTCTTGTTCTGTTGATTCCTTCTAAGGGCAAGTGCTGAGGCGCTTGGTTAATATTGTTTTTAAGGAAAGTAAAACTAAGTGATGTTTGACTTTCTTTTTTTTTTTTTTCCTTTTGCTACTTAAAGGTGCGAACACGGCAGACTGAGGTGTCTGTATTGCACGCAGGACGCGGCACTTTTCATAACATTAAAAACCACAAACTTGCCTGCATTTTGTTTGGATTTCATGTGTGAAGAAAAACACAAAGCATAGTCCATAATTGTGTAGGGAATAAACAAATGTACATGGCTGTGTCAATTTTTTAACATATAAAAATCCAAATACTGTGAGGTCCATTTGTTTTCCACTCACTGTTGAAAAATAAATGAACACTGACCTATTGCTAACATAATAGCCACAGGTACTTTTGGGGTATATCTTCATCAATTTGCACATTGGAGCTGAAATTGTTGCCCGTTGTGTCTGTACTTTGACAAGAACTATGAACATGCTTTGATCTAAACCACTCTGTTGTAGTTCTGGGTACTTCTTCAAAAGCTTCCCTGCAGAACTAAATCTTCCGTAGCATCTAACACTTTATTCCCTGCGACGTGCAGTGTTTATTTTCCCTACGTACAGCAGGGATTTTGTATATAGGCTAAAAAAAATCAGTTTCTGTTTCTCTTAATGAAGCTCTTCTTGCTAAGCCTCTAAGTTTATGTTGATGCCCAATTTAAGATGCCGTGCTCTGTCTAGATGATTGAGCAAAGCTCTGAGAGATTCAGAGATTGGGATGTTGTTTTTAAAAACTCCTCCACAGCTTTATTCCTGACCTGCTATGTGCCTCGGTCTTTTTGCAACATAGATGAGTTCTGAAACTTGCTCTGGATTTAATTTTGGGAACATCAGAGTAAATGGAGGTGAATTTAATTTTGAAAAACATTTTTAAAAACCTTGTATTCCTTTTCTTCTAGTTCACAACAATGTACAAGTTTGTTGGTGAAAATCCCAGTTAAATCCATCTGACTACAACATGTGAAAACTTATAAGAGCCATGAATAGAGATGTTATTGAGAGGGAAAAAGAACAAGTTTCATTTGTTTTGGAGTCACAAGTGTCATCTGTTCTTTTTAGGTGACATGTGACATTGAGACAGAAAGGTGAGCAGTTGAGGCCCGACCTTTGCTCTTTTCGTCAGAAGGTCTCTGGGAGTGCTGTGGGATGAAGGGTTGTCACCTTTGCTCAGCTGATGATTACACTCTGGTGATAACTAGTTGTTGGGCTTTAAGCTAATTCTGTGACAAAGTTGAAGTCTTAAGCCAGACCGATACGTTACAGATAAATAAGCCATGAAGTGGGAATCGAGTGGCTCTGTCTTTGTGGTTTCTCTTTTGTGTTTTCTGCATTTCTAACTACTAACATTTATTTCTCTTTCTCCCTCTTATCCAATCACCTCCCCCTTCATGTTCTGCTTTTCTTTATTTCTCCTGTCATCTGTCTGGTGTCTTGTCTGTGCGTTGTACACCCCCGCCACTCCCTTGCATGTCGCCGTTTTGTTTTTCCCTCAGTGTGATCAAGACCAGTGCATTCAGAGCACCAAATATGTTTTGCAGGCTGCCACCACCCCCCTCCTACAGCAGCATAGCAGCGAGCCAGTCATCATAACGTCTTCCCCTGAAAACGGGACGTCTCTGCCCGCCCGGGCCTCCCTTACCCTGGGCGGGCCTTGCTCCTCGCTGCCCCTCGGCCAGCCGACCCCGCCGACGTCCACCCCCAGCCTGAGCTGCCACGAGGCCACAGACATGCTGCCGATCCACGGACACGCACTAAACCACACCCACCCCCTCCAGGAGCAGGCAGCGCTCCACCACTATCTCACGCCAGAGGAAGTGCCGTCGCCACCGGGCATGCTACACTGCGGCAGCCCGCTGGGCCACAGCCACACCGTGCAGACCAGTTTCTACAACCCGGCCAGCCAAGACTCGCTACACGAGGACTCGGTCAGGGGGTTGGTGAAGCTCAGCTCTGTCTGACAGTGGGATATATAAACCCAACTCCTTCTGAAGACTTAAAACTCTCCTGAGCTGCTTTGGTATTGGCTGACTCCCTCATGAGTTACAGACTCCAGCTGCTAGAAACTGTGTTGAAGCTATCTGAAGTGAAGAAAAACGTGTTCTCAGCCATCATGTTGCCAAACCTGTCTGCTGGAACTGTGAGAGAAAAGTTACAGTTTGTGTGCGACCACTCAGAGATAAACTGTTGGGTTTATTTTGTACTTCAAGGGAAGATTAGACAACTTTAATTTGATAATCTGCAAACTGGACTTTGCTTTTCGAAGCGGTATCTACGTCTGTAAGCCATTTCGAGCAAAAACAAAAGGAACTGATTCAACACTTCAGGTCTGAAAGCTGCATTTCTGCCACTGGATTGGACCGGATTTTTGTTAAATATAATTGAACCGACTTGCCTGTTGCTGATCTGACCATGTCTCCTGCCTTTATTTTCAGCATTGTGATGGTTTTTGTCATTATGTTGCATATCATCCTGCTTTTTCTATGTAAAAGAAATCAAAGACTGTTGTACTGTACCATAGTTACTACAACTCTTACAAATTATATTTCCTGTGGATATTAATAAAACACCAACTTTTTACCAGATTCTGGTGCATATAAATTGAAAGCATGAGTGTGTATGGTGAGCTCGTCTTGTGCCCACTGTCTGCGATCATTTTCCAGTAGTTTCCAGAGGAAGGTAAAAACGGTTATTAGCTCTCTGCTGCCACTTTGTGGTTGATCAGACGTACTGCAGGTAACTGCGTTGTTTGTATCAGCAGGGTTAAATATAGAGATGTTCCCTTTCAGCTCAGGATCTAACCTCAGGATCAGTGAGTATGTCTTGTCTGCTGCGTGTAGATCTGTTGGCTCTCCTCTCTGGTTGTTCTGCTTTCTGGAGAAGTTTGAAACTGATTTAAGTTATTTTTTCCCAGGTGTGGTACATGGACAGAGCAGCGAGAACGATTTTTATGTCCTGACACGCTTTCTAAACGTTATAACCTTTGTTCCACTTTAATTCTTCCATGTTTTTCATCCTTCATCACTTCTGTCTTCCAAACCAAAGAAATATGGATTTTCACCATTTCGCAGCCAGATCTGGATAAATATTTTTATCCCCATTCTTTATTCTCTCCCTTTGTCAAAATGTTGTGACCTCCCCTCCTTTATATATATGTATATATATATAATCATTTTCCTTTGTGCTTGTGGTCCCTCTTTGCCTTTCATCCTTGTATCCAGACATCCTTCCAGTTTCTAGATTTTCGATGTCCCATGTTAAAAACCTGCTATAATTTCATATTGAACATTTCATATTTTAAAATTGACAAAGGATTTAAGAACTTTCACACATTTTTTTTTTTTTTTTTGTAAAAAAAAATCTATTGTGTTCATCCTTCTTGTCCGTCCCTTTTCTGTCTTTCCTGTCTTCGGTGTTTGCAGGTTTCACGTTGAAGTCTGTGTTTCACAGTTAAATCTGCAGTTTTTCCAAAATCAACATTTCTGCTAGGCTGAGTTTAGAATTGGTTAGTAAACATGTATTAAGCTAAGCAATAAAGTAAGCAGTACAGAAACGTTCAGTCAAAGCAGAGAGCTGTGGAGTTCAATGATTCTGCATTTCACCTTAGACCTTCCAGTTTGTGGTAAAAGCACACAACTGAAGAGTTGTGCCGTTGTGTAGCAGCAGCTGTTCCTTATAAAGCTTAAACTCGAATACAAAATGTAAGTAAGACATTCAGTTGTCTTTTATTTATCAAAACATGGAGGATACAAGAGATATTTCTCTTCTTCACTACAGAAGGTAATACAGACAATCCAGAATTAATACTTTTAGAGATATATTAGATTTTGAATAGCCACCCTGGAGATTTACTACTGGCTGAGTTTTCACATGATCAGTCGTATGAAGTGAATCTGATATTTCTACAGAAATTAAACAAGTTTATTTGAAAAGGATAAAGAATGGGCTCTTTTAAATTAGAAAATTAGTTTTTTGATAAAATACCATTAATGAAATGTAAAATACAATCATGCACAATGATGGTGCAAAGATGAGATTTTTTTTCTGTATTGCACATTGCACCAAACAAAAAAAAACAAAAAAAAATGAATATCCACTGTCTCAGTTTAAGACCTGCATATAATTTAAATTATAAGCTAAGCTTAAGTGCTTAAATATGTGTGTCCAGTTTTCTGTCACCCATGAATCTGTCCAATCAGGACCACAAAGATGAACCTCATCAACCACAGTAACAGTGCTAGATTAGCTTAGACCTGAAATTCAAACCTGACGTCCATCGTGTGGGTCACTGTAAACTAACTGAACCCCGACCAACAACGCGTTGGCTTCGAGTCACCATAACTTCACATCATTGAGCTCCAGGTCTCCCATGATCTCCAGCTGGTCGATGCTGCTCAGGTCCTGCACCCGGTGCCTGAACTCGAACAGGTGCGACCCGTTCACTGCCAGCTTGAACTGATGGGGCTGACAGAGCAGGAGGATCTGGAGGGGGAGGAAATGTTGAGGAATGCTAATCCAGAATGCACCGAGGTGAAAGTTCAAAGATGGACTGACCAGAATTGGGACATTTTTTTTTTTCTGGTCAGTGAATGATTCTGTTTTAATTTGTAACATAAATGTGGTCAATGATGGCTCTTAAGATAAAAAAAAAATGGGAAAACTAGTTTGTGTGTCTCTAAAATCTTGAAAGTTGCTGGTTGCTCCTACCTCAAAGTATTCGCCCGGCGAGAAGGGAAAGAAGGGCAGCTCCCTCTCCTCCTGACCCCAGGATCCGTCCAGGTACGAGTTCCTGATGAACACGCCCGACTTCATCCGGGGGTTCAGATGGAGAGCGATGTTCTCCATCTTGCTGTTGCAGAGGTTGACGGTGAAACTGGAACAGAGGTAAAAATATTTATTTTTCTTTTACAGAACGTAATAGATATTAGATTTAGAAAAAAAAACATTATTCAAATAATACAGCTACATCACACAATTTGTATTATTCCATTCCCACCTGGTTAAAAGCTTAATTGGAAGATTGATTTAGTTTTTTCCCGTATCGGTTACAATCCCTGAACAGTAAAACAGTGATGTTTAATTTCACTAAATCAATCATTCAGCATCTTGCAGACGTTTTCATCAACCTTGAACTTTCTCATATTTTGTCATGTGACAACCACAAACATCAGTGGAAAACCCTCCTGCAGGCTGCTAAACTCATGAGGCTGTGGTTGATTTTCACCTTCTAGCAGAACAACGTCCCTAATTGAAGCATAATCGTGTGTTGGAATGGCCTAATCAAAGCCCAGACGTAGATCAAAATATGCACATGTTACAAGCCCTAAAAACTGATGCTGCAAAAAATGATTAAACTGAGCTTGAGCAACTTTGCGGTCAAACGTTTCAGTCTCTTGGATGTTCAAAGCAGACATACATGAAAAATACTTACAGCTGTCATTTTATTTGTTTACTATTTTCCTTCTGTGCAATTATAAACTGTTTCGTGTTTAACAAAGTCCCATTAAAACACATAAAATGTTAATAATTGTGATAAATGAAAAATACAAAAAATTATTTATATATTTGCATATTATTAATAGTTTGTTTACCTGTGAGGGTACATGCTGACCTGTCCTTTTATTGTGATGTGCTGTCCTGGGTTCAGTCCTTTGAGTATACTGCCTTTGTAGGGAAGACCCTGTAACAACAATGTTATTATTTTTCTCCAAGATTGTCACATGAGCTTCTATGACTGAGCTGTATACAGTAGTGCATATGGAAAGTATTCACAGCGCTTCATTTTATGTCACAGTCTTATTCCAAATTGTACTCATGCCTCAAAATCCTACATACCAAGGCTCCAATGTGACAATGTGGGAAAAAAAAAAAAAAAGTTTAAAAGGCTGTGAATTAATGTGATTTCTTGGTTTTATATTTTTTGCAAAAATCTCAAAAAGCACCACAGTGTCATAATGGGGTATTTGGTGTGTAGAATTTTTAGGCAACAGATTAATTTATTACAATTAGGAATAAGTTTGTAATGTAACAAATTAAGGCAAAACAACGCGTCCGCTATTTACACGTGGCAAAAATATAAAGTTATGGGCCTGTATTCTCAGAGTTTTAGGTTGAGTGACCGAGTCAGCTGCTGAGAGAGAGTTTGAGCGATGAGTCAACAGAAATTCCCATCTTAGTGAAGGATGTTTGATTGACCGCGTGACACTGTCTTCTACGGTTGATGCACACAAAACGACAAAATAGTGAAAATTAACCAATTACTGAGTTTAGACTAGGTTTTTTAAAACAATAGCATGATGATAAAACTTTGCAAAATTGAATTATTCACCACGCAACAACCACAGCAATTATAGCTTATTTACATCATCGTTACTTTGATTTGTAACAGCTTCTTGCCATGCTGGTTATTTTTACTACATCTATTTAATAATAAACCCTCAGCTGTCAGCAGTTTACTGTGACTGCCTGCTTGCCTGATCTGGTGAAACGACCATAAAATTAAGGAGTAAAGCTGTGTTTAGTCTTAGGATTCATTGAGAATACAGACCCAAATAAACTGTAATAAAATCTACAGCATGGTGAATAAGCATGGGTGACCACGGACCCATAAACATTCAGGACGTTTTTATTGCATCGTAAGAAAATTCTAACTTCATGGACCCGCTAAAAGAAAAAAAAAAAAAACTGAGGAAACTCACCAAATCACCTGACTCTGAGTATATTGCCTAAAAGAGAAAAAACGTGTTCAGAAGTGATTCAGAAGAAAAAGAGAGGAAAAAACAAACAAGAAAATTAGAAAGGAGTTAGTTACTGAGTTTGGGATATAGCCAATAGCGTGGACCCTGACATTCCCAGAAATAGAAAACGTGTCGACCCTGGTCAGAGGAGTTCTGTGTTTGTATTCCAGCAGGTGAGTACCATTTACTGCCACCTACAGGTAAAGCCAGACATTCAGTTAATTTATGTTCTTCAGCTACAGCACACAGGCTGGTGAAGGGCTGCTTCACCTTAAAGCCATTCTTGTGCACTAGAATGATGGTCTCGAAGGGGGCTCCGCGTTTGTAGGGCAGCTGGTGGAGCGTCTCCTCGTTACCCCACTCCTCCTGCAGCAGGGAGTTACAGACCACACAGGGGGAGTCACTGAAGCGAGGGCTGAAGTGGAGAGCGACGTCTGAGCGTGGTTTGGTGCTGCAGCCGCTTGACAGGTCCACCTGAAACCTGCAGAGAGGACGAACACACAAGTCAAGGTTAAAGTTATAAACACAGGCTCAGGAATATACATATTTAAACTTCTCAGTAGTGCCACAGGCTGATGGTGCCACGCTGCACTGATGCAGTAATTCATGCAACAGGAGCCTCATACTGAGTGCGTATACTCTCAACAGTGTGTCATCACACTTTTTAGTAGGCTGGCATACTTTTGTTGCAATTCCCCTTTTTTCTTAACTAAATCAAGTTTTCAAATATATTTTTAATTTATGCAACACAACAGACAGCTCTCCAAGTGCTATCTGCTCGGTTTGACTGGAAAAATCACCTGTCAGCTTCTGGTGGCACAGTCCCCTGGATGATGATGATCTCCCCTGGATGCAGGCCTCCAGGTATGGGACCAGTGTACGGGATCACCTAAAAGGGAAGGTAAAGTTAAAACCACTGCATCCACACTGACAGTCTGGCTTCTGCTTAATATCTGAGAGCTAAAACATCCCTCAGATGCGAGACAGATTAATCAAATGAGAATGGCAGCGGCTTAAGCTGAGAAATTACGAGAGTTCATTAGGAACGGCTGTGAACATCAACATTAAGCGAAACCTCTTACCGGATCCAGAACGGTGCGTTTTGCATTGGCCACAGACATCGAGCCCCGGGTGTCCTGACAAGCTGCAGCGGGTGACGGACAGCTGACAGTCGGTGGTTTCTGCAGCAAACAGCGGCAGCTTTGGGCTCTGCTGCGCTACCAGCTGACGGTACCAGTGGCCATATTTACTCCATCAACGAGCAGCGCATGCGCACAATCTACCATGTGATCAGGCTTACATATGAAAACAGCAGGTTTGTTTTTTTTCTGCTGTTTACTCATATTTATGAGTAAAACAACATATATGTTCAACTCCTGCTCCTCAGAAAACCACACATACACGTTAAAATAATCTGAATGTGTGCTAAAAGTTTGACGCAAGTTCCTTTGCAGCCAAACAGTCAATAAAAAAGAAATAAGAATAAAAAAATGGGATATTATATTAGCAAAGGAGAGCGTGTCTCCTCTGTTTGTTTTTTTTTATTAGGATAACTAATATTTCAGTTGTATTTGAGAGCATTGGAAACGATCTAAAATAAATAAATGAAATTACCTGTTCATGCTAGATGGCTTTGTTATACATTTAACATTTTTTTAGAAAGTGTTTATTGTTCTACACTGAATAAAAATCAATGTAGACCTTTTATCCTCGACTAGCAACATGTTTTTGCTTTGTTTCAGAATTCCGAGTTGCATTGAATGCAACAAGAATTAGAGCAGTTGTCTCTAAAATAGCATTTGTCGGTTGCGAGAACAGGTTTCTCTGTCTGCTTGGAACAAACAGACTGTTTAAGAGCAATTCATGGGTGTTGGTAAGTGTGTTGAGTAGAATATACTTTATTCTTTGCAACGATATAGATACCTTATTTATTTGTCAGAAGTTGTTAGACTACTAATAGGGGCTCCAAGTGTTTTGAAGACGTGAGACGATCAGGACATGTATTGTACTCAGGTTCAGATTAGTGTAATAAATCTAGTTGTATATCTCACAATTTGTAATTTATCATTGTTTATTAAACTCTGAAAGCTGTGACTTTGTTAATATTCTGTCCTAAAATGCAGTTAGATGTGCCCTTTTTTTACCACCTGCCCCTTTAGTGGTCTCTGCACGGCCCTGTTGTATTGTATTGTGATATAAAAAATAGATTATTTTATAGTACATTATATTGCAATATAAAGGTGCAGTTCTGTGTCTCAAGATACAACTCCTGCTGTAGAGCACATGCTCAAGGTGTAAACTAACCCTTCAGTACAACATTTTACCTGAAGGTATTTTATTATTATTGCATTAATTTTGACTTATGGGATTTTCATGTGACAAAACAATTGTATTAAATTGTAGCAAATAAAATTTTGTTTAATTTGAACTTGACTGTTTTCTATGTATTTCAAATTGAGTTCAATCAAATTCAAAAAATACTTTGTTGATCCCAAAGGGAAATTAAATGTAGTTGTAACTCATATAATTAAGAAGTTATTGTATATTCTGATGGCTGTGGGCAGGAAAGATATCCTGTAGTTGTCTGTATTGTCTGTATTACTTTGAATTTGAAGAAGCCTCTGACTGAAGGCACTGTTTTTCATTGACAGTCTTCTGAAGAAGATTGTCAGGGTTATCCAGAATTTTCTTGTTATCATCTCCAGGGAACCAATTACACAGTTTATACAAAGATTCCTTATATAATTTATATTATCATACAATTTGTATATGAATCTATTATTATTTTGCTACACATTACATTGTCTATTTTCTTTTTCTTTTTTAGCACAAACTGCTGCCATCACAGGAGGAGCAGGTAGGTTTCAGATGCCCTGGTTTATCTATTTCTTCATGCCATAAGACAAATGGGGCTACGCATATATTATTTGCAATATGTAGTTTTGCAACCTTGTGAAAAAAAGTTATCATTTTAAGTTTGTCCATCTTTTAAAAGAAAAAAGTGTGAACGTCTGATTACAGGTGCAATGACAAAATCTTTTTTATATTTCATCCTGATGAGATGAGGACCTATCAAAGGTCACTCGGGATACATGTTACATTTAGAGCTTCCCTGAAATAAAGCACCAACTCTGTGTGGCTAATGATTTTCTTGGTGAACTCACAGGAATATCAGCATATATTCTAACATCAGTAATATGTGCTTTTGCATGCAGTAGGAGCAGTGGGTATAGTGCTCATGGCCCCTGTGGCCTTGAGCGCCATCGGCTTCACCTCAGCTGGGATAGCAGCGGGCTCCTACGCTGCAAAGATGATGTCGGCTGCTGCCACTGCTAACGGAGGCGGGGTGGCAGCAGGAAGCCTGGTGGCGATTCTACAATCTGCAGGTACCTAACGCTGTAGTCAACGCTAGTTGACTTGACTCTAGTTTTAAGAGTTTTGCTTGCCATTTTAGAAAAGATAAAATACAGTTCTGCTCAAAATAGTAGCTACTTTTCAAGTAGTAGTAGCAAACAGAAGTGATTTATTTCATAAAACTTTATACAGTTGTTAACACTCCCTTATCTCTTAATGTGTTTGTTAATATTGCACTTTTTTCCAGCATCCAAAGATAAGGAAGCAGCACATTTCTTCTTGTTCACATCAAAAGGGGAACATTTGAAATTTACATTGGCATTGATAAGGCTGATCACACTACTATGTTTACTGTAACCTGACTTCAGCTTCCCAAACTGCTTAAAAAAAAAAGAAACCCTAGAGCTTATGTTTTTTTCCCCTTACATCTTCAATAATCCTGTTTGGTTAGTGTATGCGTCTTTTTTCATGCAGGTGCATCCGGTTTTACAGCGTCCGCCAACACGGTTCTGGCCAGCATTGGAAGTGCTCTTGGAACCTGTGTTGGAGCTGCAGTGGGATGGCTGTCAAACATCTTTCAGAAACGAAACGAACAAAAAAGAAGGGAGGAAGCGATGGCAGTCGTTCTGTTTGGCATCGCTGCAGGAGCTTTATTTATGTGGTCAAAACACTAATTATTATTTTTGCTTTCTCAGTATCGGTGACCTCATGTTATACATTTCATCCCATTTCTGCTTCATTGGTGCTCCAGTTAAACAAAATAAGACAAAACCCAACTTTCATTAAATTCTTTACAGAAGGTTTAAAATATATTAATACCCTGTGATACATCAATACAAAGCATAGTTGTGAAATAGAAGAAACATGATTCATGGATTTCCAATTGGCTACACCGTAAAACTAAATTTGTATCCACTCCCCTCTTGGTCTGTAATTTTTTTTCTTGAACTGCCTTTCACTGCAGATTTGAAATTACTTTTTGATTTTGATTTTTTTCAGTTGAAACCAGAAGTTTACACGTAGCAAATAAGTATATGTAAACTTCTGGTTTCAACTGTAAATGGAATCTTTAAGGAAAATAATCCCCTACTACCTGAATAAAGAAAATATGTATTCTGGTAAATGGTACGGAGTGTCGTGTAAAGTGGAGTTTGGCCTCCCTGAAGTCCAGATTTAAAGAGTACTTAAAAATTGATCTGTTGAAATAGCAAAAGGTTATGTGAAATTTGGAAATGTCATTTTGACTGGCCTACAGTTTAAAAGGACTGTGAAGCAGCACTACTTATTGGTAATTGTCACAATAATCAGCAATCATGTTTAATGTGTTTGCGAATTAGAAACGACCACACCACTACAAGTCAACAGCCTTCATTAAACTCTGATCAACTTCAAAGTTGATCAGAGTTTAATGAATGTGTCTCAAGTAGATGGTAGAGGAAAGGTTGGGAAAAGAGGAAGTGAAAGGACAAAAACACAACAGGAGTTATTTAACACATTGATGCACCACTGAATTTTGAAACAGCATTATTTGGATTTGCTTTTCCAATAAAATTTGCAAAAAAATTCCTGAATAAAACTGGTTAAAAAAAACAAGGCATATGATTGAATTTTGTGTCATTGTCGCTCAAATACTCATAATGATGCCTATTAATATCAGTTGTAACAGTTACATTTACTTGAGTAATTTTTTGAAAGACATTTACTTTTAGGAGCAATTTTAATAAACTTACTTTTAATTTTGTAAAAATTTCTACATAATCTACTCTTATAAGGAACTTCATTTGATAATTTGATAAAAAATATAAAGCTAACTTCATACGTTTAGTTCTTATGATTATGTCATTAAACATTAAGTCTTATGATTAGTTCAATTCAGTATTTGAGTTTTACGGAAAACTTTTTTATGACTGAAAAATTTCTTGGACGGCTACTTTTTACTTTCTCTTGAATAAAAATATGTTGAATTAGTTTCGGACGCTCCACCTCTGTGCTCAGGAAATCGAAACTCAGACAAACCGAAGTAGCAGTCATTTTTAGACGTTGGCTTCTTTATGATGCGTTCAATGGCAATCGGGAGCTCGGTTCTTTTAGTTCCTGTTTTTAACATTCCTGTAAGTTAACGGACTTTTATCACGTCGTAGTCCGACTTTCGAGGTTTAGTGAATGGAGCAACCATATTTGTTTGGTTTTCTCACGCAGGGAGCAGCACAATAAAACGTCAGTAGCAGCACATATGACTGTGCGAGTATTTATGTCTGTGAGAAGCTGACGTTCAGCTTATTAGACTGCAGCCGGAAATAAGAACTGTCTCATGAGGGTGAGTACATCTAAAGTTTAGAAGAGATCTAAATCTGTCTAAATAACTGGTTTGATCGGTCCATTTTTGTAAGTTTTATATGTTGGTGTTGTGAAGAAGAGAATTGAGATATTTATTTAGAATAGATGGTTCAACTCAAGGCACCAAAATAAGCTGATTTTATTCCCGTGAACTTAACCAAGGCATAAACGAATTTATCTATTTACCGCTAAGTGTTAATAGACTTCTGTTTGTGTCATTCCGATGCCTCTGCTAAGCATTCTTTCAAGCTTAGCACAGGCACGGTGATTTTACATACTGACATAACTTAATTCACTTCAAAAATACTTTCTTTATCGCAAAGGGTAATTAAATCTCCTAACTCGTATCATCCAGCAATTTAGTCTTGTATAGTAAATGTAATACCCTGTCTCTGTTAAATTATTTTAATTTAAGGTTAATTGATACTGATTTTCGTTTGTAAAATATAATTTTGATGTTTATAGTTTATCCAGCAGTCACCCAATGGCTGCTGGAGATGGGCTTTAGCCCATTGCAAAATCATGCAACTAGGTGTTGTACTTTCAATTTTAATTATTTCTTCTTTTTCTTGTGTTTAGATTTTCTTTTTTGCAAGTAATGAGCACTCAGGACCTTGTTTGGTGTACTATGCATAGAAAGTGCGCCTCAGAATAAACAAGTTCTCTCTGTGATCCACAGTGTGTTCGGTGTATTGGCTACACAGTCCACAGTCCTCTCTTGCCACTGTGCTGCTTGGTACTGGTCCAGATATCCCCTAGGTTTGGCAGCAGTAATAACTGGGGTCTCGTCCGAGATTTTGAGTCTCCTGTTGTGAGAGGTTGGCACTGAGACAATAGGAGACGGTTGATGAAACTTCAGGAAAGGCTGCATTGAATATATCATCCAGTGACCTGAAGCAATCTGTGAGACGTCAACATGGCCAACAGCACTCAACGGCAAGCACTGATATTCAGCCTCCAGAAAAAGCTTTTTTCTTTGAGGAGAGATCAACTACAAGTGATTGCGTCTTTAATTGATGATGGTCCCGCGAATAACCTTGATGTTTTAAGTGTTCCAGAACTGTACAACCTGATTGTTGACTTCATCAGAAGTGAAAAACTGAGCTCATTGAAGGATGAAGGCATGACCCAGCTGCTTCTCTTGGATGACCTGATTAGTGACCTGCTTGCCTCTAAAGATGGTGCAGCTGGAGATGACCCAACCACACCTCTAAGAACACATGATGCATCAGCCAGTCAGTCTGGATCCCCTAATCCCAACTATTCAGACCGGGAATCAGCTCCTCCTGATACAGACATTCCCTTGAGGCCAACACATACAGCCAACAATGTCAGTACTCAATCACCTGCGCACCTGGACAGTGACACTCACACCCACATGTCCCAGACGGAGAGGGATGGCTCTCCAGCAAGTGCCTCCACTGCTGCAACACCAGCAGAATCACCTACAGTAAGAGAAAATGGTAAGAGGAGTCCCTGTTCTAGTGTGTGTGACCTGATTTTTTTTATTTTTGATTAAATAATGCTGCAACTTTGTTTCCCCTCAGAAACAGAGACTTTAGGCTTCATGGGGGACAAGTCTCTCTTACAGTATTTTAGTTCTGATGTGTCATACAGTGACCTATATAAACAAATAGATGAAGGTTTATTGAAACTGATAAATACACAATCCTTAAGACAATGAAACCCTGGTACATTCAAAAAGATGTTAACTTATAAGGTGAGCACTGATTAGCCGGAGAGGTTTCTCCACTCACATCAGATATAAAAATAGTTCTGAGACTCAAGTAACGTGAAGCAATTTATGTACAAATGTTCCCTTGGTCAGCCTACACTTCAGAACCAGCAATCAAGGCAGCACTAACATGGTTTCATTTTTGCGTGAAAATATGGGGTGTTACTGTACTTTTCTTCGTGGCCCACTTTCAAAACTAGGAAATCTGTTTTCACATTTAACAAAAAGAAAATGCTCTCCAAAAGTTGCATGAAATTAGAAATTTTTGTTCTAATGAAGTTCTTGATAATATATGTCTTTTACATTTATGTTTTTTCACTAGTGTTCAGATAAAGATTGTTTATCTATCTGAAAATAAACCAAGGAAAATAAACCACAGGAACAAACTAGGGTCTGTTCCTGTGGTTTACAGGAACAGAGGAAGTAACTCTTCCTCTGTTAAACCCCAGTCCTGAAGGGTCACTGCCCTGCAACCTTTAAATGTGCCTCTGCTGCACCACCCCTGAATAGAATAATTAGGTCATTAGGAAGGCTGTGGATAACTGATCTACACAAGAAGGAGGCAATTAAGCCATTTCATTCTAGTGTTTTGTACCTGTGGCAAATCTAAAAACTGCAGGACTGAGGACTGGAGTTTGACACCCCTGCTGTAAACAGAAGAGGGGTAATATCACAGAAAGGAACATATATTTGAAAGATTATGTCTCCCTCTGAATTAGACTTTTTTTCTCTTTTAGATCCTCAGAAGCAACAGGACCCACCAGCTCATGGCTCTGCTGAGATGGAGGGTCAGAGTCCTGCCGGTTCACCATCAGGAAATGGCAAACGAAACTTCTTCTCAGGTAGAGATACAAGTTGCACGATCTGGACCTTATCTCTATAAAAATATTGCTCAAGGAGGAAGTAATTTGCTCAGAGAAACCTTTACTATAACTGGTCAGATATTGTCCTACACTAAGGTAACAGGATCAAGTTATCTCCTACTACTTATTTATATTTTCACATTGACACATTATCATAATTCTTTATTAAAACAGAACTGATGGAAAATGTGTTGAAACTGGATAGATAATGTCTTTAATGCTGATGCTTGATGTAGATGGTCAGAAACTTTAAAAGACCGGACTGCAACAATAAAATCTGGCTGATTTAAGTATGCAAACTGAACCCCAAAATTATTCATACCCTATTAGATTAAGTTTTCAAAATTATTTTAATGAATCACAGTTATTTAAATTTTTTGAAAGGAGAAAGACATCTCACAGAAGATAATAAAACTCTACAAAAAAAATCGCTATTTTTGTTGTGTTTTTAATGCTGCTTTAAGGTAAAAACCATTAAGACAGTGTTTAGAGATTCACTGATCTGACTTTCTGTGGTCAGCACTGATTTCTGATGGAGGTAGAACTGCTGCTGATTAATACAGGTCAATCTATTTCTGGCCTCTGGTGAAAACTCACATTTTATGTTGGTGTTGTGTTTCAGGAAAATTATTCCTAGCAGGATCTGCAGGTATGACATTTTTTCTTCCTTTTATGCTTGTTATCTTGACATACTGAGATGTTCTCAGTATGACAGAAAATACAGCTGTGATTGTGTGATCAAAAAACATATGAAGTTTAGCACTGACCATAAATAGATCTTGCCACCTAGGCTGCAGAAACATTTTGGTTTGTTTTCTAAAATCAATGTTTTATTTTGTTTAGACAGTTTGTAATTTAACCACAGAGTAGACAAAATATATATAGTTGTCTTAACCTTCTTTTATTATACTTTAATAACATGTTTATGTCAAATATTTTTTTGTTCTAAGTCTTGGGGGGAATCGGTGCTGTGGCGCTGGCTCCTGTTGTTCTGGGGGCCGTTGGTTTCACCTCAGCTGGGATAGCAGCGGGCTCCTACGCTGCAAGCATGATGTCTGCTGCTGCTGTCGCCAACGGGGGTGGGGTGGCAGCAGGAAGCCTGGTGGCGATTCTACAATCTGCAGGTGCTTTGACTTGATTCTAGTTGTAGCTACTTAATTTACTTGCTGTAATAAAACAGGATAAAGTACAGTACTGTTCAAAATAGTAGCACTCCAACATCGTTCATGGGATTAGGTAATGTCCTTGATAGAAATTAGTCACTCCAGGTTGTTCATACGATGAAACATGATTAAATACTTGATTGAAGTAAACATATGAAGAGGTCCAAGAAACAAAAGAAGCTGTTGGTCTTCTGGTGTACTTTGAGTACTTGTTAAAAAAACGTGTTGGTTCAAGATTAGCATTAATTGCATGGAGTGAACAGCTCAATCCAGAGACTTGTTGAAGTCAGTTCATCCTGTACCCATCAGACCATCCCACATTTGACATTTCCTATTTCCTGCAGGTGCTGTTGGTCTCTCAGCGGCCGCCTCTACAGCTGTGGCTGGTGTTGGAGCTGGTGTTGGAGCTGGTGTTGGAGCT